AGACTATAGACTAGAGACCGTAAACGTGAGATTAGAGACCAGACCAGAGACTAAAGTCCAGACACCAGAGACCAAAGACTAGAGACCAGAGACTATAGAGACCAAAAACTAGAGATTAGAGACTGGAGACAAGAAACTAGAGACCAGAGATCAAAGACCAGAGACTAGAGACCAGTCCAGAGACTAGAGAATAGAGACTAGAAACTAGAGCCCAGAGATCAGAGACCAGAGACCAGTCCAGAGACCAAAGCCAAGAGACTAGAGACCAGAGACTATAGAGACCAGAGACTAGAGAGACTAGAGACCAGAGACCAGAGGTCAGAGACCAGAGACTAGAGACTAGAGACTAGAAACTAGAACCCAGAGATCAGAGGTCAGAGAACAGAGACCAGAGACTAGAGACCAGTCCAGAGACCAAAGTCAAGAGACTAGAGACCAGATACTATTGACCAGATACTATAGAGACCAGAAACCAGAGACTAGAGACCAGAGACCAAATCAGACTAGAGACCAGAACAGAGACTTGATCAGGGACAAGAGACCAGAGACAAGACCAGAGACCAGACTAGCACTAGGGAACTGAAACCAGGCCAGAGATCAGACCACAGACCAGATCAGAGACTATATAGAGATCAGACCACAGACCAGACCAGACACTACATAAAGCCCAGACCAGAGTGTTCTTTGTAATATGGTACAAATCACAAACAAATCCATGTTATGTAATAACCTCCTATAACTTAAATCCAGATTTAAAGTTATCCGATTGTATTTTCTGTACTTTCATTTGGAGTGGAGTTGCCATAGAAACACAAAGCTGTCAGAAACCCTGTTCTATATTCATAATAGTCTTTAACCACCTGAACCCGACTCGTCTCTTTCTCCAGTGTCCTCTGTCTGGTCTAACATTATTTTTGTCACAGGTCTATTTAGTATGACTCATTTTCTCACTTCAGCTCTAATTTCAGCTCATCCTGCTCTCTGTAATTAAACAATGTATTCCTATTTCTCATGCTGTTAACTTTGGAATGTGAATGAGACACTGAAATATTACTTTTCTGTTCAAAGTTTGTAGAAATAAAAAGTTTAATTATGTTCCTACTCACAACTGAACATTGATAAAGTCTACACATTTTTCATATTTTGTTAAGAGAATTGTGTATTTTATTTCATGATTAATATCAAATCTCTTCCAGACAAAAGCTGTACAAAGTTTAGCAAGAACTATCTTTGGGGGAAACTCTGGTGTAGTGGTACTATGAAGTTGGTTCGCTATCTATTGGGATTACATGCCCTGAAGTTAATTCAGTATTTGATGTCCAAATAGTATAAGAAGACGACTCTTTGACTAATCAGAGATGAGAGAGTCTAACTTTATTTTAAATTCTTGTCTGTTTAGATTGACAGTGATTGACAGTTCCTCATGTATTTGCTCTTGTTTCTGATTGGTTGTCTGGCGCTAACTCCGCCCTCTGTTCTGTTCACAGTTTCATTCAGAAAATTCAAGATTGCCAAAGTGAGTTTTGAACAAGCTTCATAATACCGTATCTCCAATGACCTGCAGATTCACCACATTCAAATTTTGACCAAACCAGGACTAATTTAGGAACTAAAGCTGGACCAGGGCTAAACCAGGACTAGAACAGGACCAAACCAGGTTTCATCAGGACTAAATCCACCTCAAAGTAAGATCAAACAACAAGGGTAAACACAACCTTAGTATCTGTTTAGGTGTAGTTGTGGTAATCCAATTAAGTTGCTTTTCTGCTCTTCACAAACACTGTTACATTATTAAATTTAATGAAGTAATGCACAATAAATCCAGAATATTGCATGTTTAAATATACAATCAATATTAAACGATTTATTGTGTGGTTTTATACAGTGTACTGCTCCTTCAAGGGCCCATATTACACTGTTTTCCAGTCTATGTTATAATGTTGTTTCCTCATAAAAAAAAAAAAAAAAAACATGTCCTGAACAAAGCATGTTGAGCTCTGGAGATGTAGACACACTAATAACACTGTAAAAGATTACTCGAACATGCGTGAAAGAAACAAAACACAACTCCAGGTATGTTTTCGATGGGTATAACAACACAGCAACATAACTAAAAGCGCTCAAGAATCAGATTTGGTAATATAAGACCTTTAAAACAATCACTGTCATTAATGCAGTATTTTCACATATACAGTACCTGCACAGGATCTTGTAATATGACCGCACTGGCTCAGAGAGGTTCATATGTGCAATGATGATGAATACTGTTGTCATTGTGGTGAGAGTAGAGAGATCGATCTGAAATGGTCTCGAACTGTCCCGCTTTGCTTCTGTCCCAAACGCTGCTCCTTGTTCATCAATCACACACACACAAAAATCCATTCACATTGGCATCAACGCCGCTAACAGGCTAAAAATAAACGCCATGACCTTTATTTAATCAATACGACAACACTAAGTTCACTCTGTGTCACCCTGAGCGGCTCTCAGATAATCAGGGGAAACTTTTGCATAAGCTCCACAATGATAAATGGGCTCACTAGCTTAGCACATCTTACAAAACGCTAACAGTTACCACGGTCAATTGTCCACACATATTCACACATTTCAGGTTAGCTTCTAAATCCTATATGAGAAAAAAAAAAGTTCAGAGCAGTGGGTGTGGAAAATGTCAGTGCAATGGTGCCTGGGATGCAAGTGTGTAAAAGTATAAAGATGACTCAAACATCCATGAGTCATGCTAAAATTAAAGGGCCCATATTGCACTTATTTTCTGATCTATGCCATAATGTTGTTTCCTCATAAAAAAAAAAAATACCTGGAGTTGTGTTTTGTTTTATTCACATATGTTTAACACAAATCCTGCATATTTAGGCCCCGTTTACACGTACCCAGGTATTTTTTTAAAAACAGAGACATTTCCCTTTCGTTTGTACCCATCTTTACATGCAAATGGAAAATACACCTTTGAAAACAAATTGTTCTAAAAATTCCAGCTAGAGTGCAGATTCAGGAAAACTATGGTTTGGTGTTTGTATGTAAAGTGAGATAAATGGTGTTTTAGGAGCTGACAAGCCAAAAGTGCGACCAATTTGGTATGATCAGCAATTTTGCCACTTCATTAACATATCTATGGAGAGGCAAGCCCGCTCAGTAATGCACGTTTTTTAAGGTATTTTTGAGTAATACATACAACTGTAATGAAATAAATGTTACATGTTTGAATCTAATGTAGTTGTCACCTATAGGCTTGACGTAGTTATAATCCACTCGATGGTGTATTTATGCGGGCTGATATAAAAGAAAACTTTTTTGAAAACAGTGCTATGTGCATGATGTTATTTTGGGAATCAGAGGGAGGGAAATATTCGTTTTTCAACATACTCAGCTATGTGTAAATGTAGCCGTAGGTTATGTTCTTTCAAACAGAAACACTCTGTTCCACCTTGTGATATCATGAGGTGATACGGGAAGCGCTCCACTGTGTCTTTAAACACCATGCACCTTCACTACAATCTTTTGGATAATTTCAGCTCTGGAATTGCCAATCTCTACTGATGTAGCTGCTGTAACTAACTTGAAAACTATCACTACATGACATTACAAAGGTGGAACAAAGCATTTTAAGCTTTGGAGATGTAAAAACACAATTCCAGGCATGTTTTTGAGGAGGTAACAACAATCTAACGTGGCTAAAAGCTCACAAGAGCCAATTTTGTGCAACATAGGACCTTTAAGAGATAAATTACCCTGTTAATTTCATCCGATTTAGTAGATTTAAAACATGGTTTTCCAAAGAGCGTGATTTGATAATGAGAGGGTGTTTGCTTTTCCATTCATTTTTATGCAGTTAATTTGTGGATAATTAGGACACACTATTGCATTAGCTGCAAACACATTTGTTTTTCTATGGCGCTTAGCAGTTAATCCAATTGTGTTGTAATTCACCGCGCCACACTACATCATAACTGCAAAGCTTTTCAGTTAGAGTGTTAAAGATTCCAGTTAAACATATTTATGACAAAACAAAAGTATACCTCCTTAATTTATTAAGGGCCAATCTTATGCTATTTTCTCATCTATTTTATAATGTCGTTTCCCAGATGTGGGACCAAGTCATCGTTTTGTAAGTCTCAAGTAAGTCTCAACTCTTTGACCTAAATTCCAAGTCAAGTCCAAGTCATCTGCATTGAGCTTCAAGTCATTTCAAGTCTTTAAAACAAAGTACTAAATATAGCTATTTATATAAGAGTTGTAGAAATGCAATCCTTTTTAAATGTCTTGACAAGATCTTAGAGTGAATCATTACAGTCAGAATACAAATAATTCAGATTTAAAAGTGCTTCTCAAGTCTTCTCAAGTCACAGGCCTCAAGTCCGAGTCAAGTACCAAGTCATTGACCTTCAAGTCCACATCAAGTGCCAAGTCTTAGTCCATTTTATCAAATAAAATCACAAGTCCTAAAAATAGTGACTCAAGTCTGACTCGAGTCAAAGTCATGACTTGCAAGTCAACACCTCTGTTGTTTCCTCAACAAAAACACACCTCGAGTTGTAGTTTGTTCAATTGACCCGTCTAACCTACAAACCCTTAGTTAGCATCTTTAACCTGAGCTCTTCTCTCAAACAGAAAACTTGTGATGAAATGCAGTAATACATGAAGTACTCCACTGTGTTTTTAAAGTCCATTCACCTTCACAAGAATCATTTGGATGATTTCACTGCTCTGAATTGCCGATCTCTACTGAATAAATGAGTGAGGCAACATTATAACATAACTTAAAGCTCACAAGAGTCAGTTTTGTATAATATAGGACCTTTCAGATGTCTTGTTTCATTTGACTGCTGATTTTCTATGTAAATTTTTATGTAAACCATATGTGTACATAAAGCCCAAGATAAGACATCATATTTGAACCAGCAACCCAGTGGTTCTGTGACAAATGCTTAACACTATTCCACTACTCTACTGCTTCTCAAAGTGCTGACAGATATTAGAAGTGAGATTACAATGTTGTTTTTTATTGAAATCAAACTCTTTGTCCAAATATAGAAACTTTTATTTTACAATCTCAGCAAAAATATGACACATTTCCATTTGAATTATACCTTTGTTATATATCTAAATACAGCTTTACAGGTGCTATGTCAGTAGAAAAAAATATCAGTTTCTGCTTGAGATACAAAATGTACAGTTCCTCCACAAGAAAATTGCACAGTTTAAAAACCTCTGCCCTTAAAAACACAAACCAGATTTAGACAAAAAAAAAAAAAAAAAAAAGAGAAAAAGAAAAACCCACATACAATTATATCCGTTTTAGCCGAATTTTCCAAATTTTTTCCCCATTTATTTTGAATATTAAATGATTGATTTTCTTTGTTATTTCTGCCATAATGAAAATATTATCTTTTACCAAACTTGTTTTCTCCACAGTACAGATGTTACCAATTCATTCATTTTACACATTTTATTATTATTATTATTATTATTATTCTTATTATTCTTATTATTATTATTATTTATTTTATTTTACTAGGTGTACTATGACATTTTTGTTGGTAACACCTGCTTGTCTCCATGGCATTATCTGTAATGTTCCTCTGTATGGTATTAAATTAATCTTTCTCCATGGAGCTTGTGACACAAGGTGCAGGTCAGATCTATGGAGAGATGTTTTTCAAGGTATTTTTGAGCAAATAACTAACTGAAAACAAGATAAGTTTAATGCCATACTGTGGAATATTCCTGTTAAACCAGTGACATCTAAAAAGAGCAGTTAGTGTACCTTACCACCAGAAAAGTTACATAGTGCGCCTTTAAATATGTGTATAATAAATCATGTCATACTTGTTTTTGCAGTGGTTACTTGTTGGGTTTGAATAATTCAAAAGTAAATGCAAAATATATTTTGAATTTTGCACAGTTTTGTCTGAGATTTTCACAATCAAAACATAAAACCAAATAGAAACACACAACATATGTAAAGGAACAGCATACAGACGTCGACCCAAAACATAACTTAAATGTGCAACAGAAAAACATGAGCTTATTCAACAAAGTGTGGCAGCAAATTTAAACAAAAACTTTGAGGTCCAAGTCACAGCCGGTCATATCCATTATAGTTGGTGTAAAATGTTGCTTTGTGGATCATTTTTTGGTATTTGTCCATATCATTGTTGGATAAAAAATGACTACCTGTGATAGATTGAACCTTTTAAAATATTATTCTAATTGGATAAATAATAAGCTCAGCCTGCCTTGGTTTCTCTATAATATATCTGCAAATGATGACTGAATGACTGCTGTTTTGCAAAAAGTCACATTTTGCATTTGTTGGTTCATTTATAATATAAAAATGAGCAATTGAGAGAGTTTATATCAATCTAATGCTTTGTATTGGGCATATACATATTTGTGATAGCAACGAAATATTTCTGTTACCACTATAAACTTTTCTGGTAGAGGGTCCACCACCCACTTGACTACATGCCAATGTTGTTGTTTTTTTTTCCTGGAATGTTCTACAGTATGGCATTTTGGCTATCTCCATGGAGAAAAGCAGCCACATTACCAGGTAAAGTGCAATACATGTCAGATCTGTGGAGAAGTGGGCTCGCTCGCCGTAATAATGCACATTTTTGTGGTAGTTTTAAGAAATATAAACTCCTTTAATTAAATAAATGCAAGATGCAGATATTCGTTTAATGCTGTACTCTGGAACATCCCAGGCAAAGCAATAACATCACCCTGGAGACAAGCTGATGGCAGACCAAGTTACACAGTTTAGAACAAATAGTTTATTAAGAATGATTTAAGCAGATTAACTTAACTAAGGGGTCAGATTTAGGAGGTAGTGTTAGGGTTTTAATTAAGTATTTACTGAGCTTGAATCATCCTTAATTAACTATTTATTCATTAGAGTTAAAAGCATTTGGCTGCTAGTCCAATGTCCGATAACAGTCAGTTCTTAGTGCCATTGTGTCCCTTGGCAAGACATTTGACTGCCCCTATATGAAAGGGTACATCTTCATAAATTGTAGAGAACAAAAATGTACAATACGCCAACTCTCCAACTAAGTCTGACTTTTAAAAAAATTTAAAATCTTGGACTCTAAAGAAGGTTCAGAGGGCAGGTGCTACTTCTGACACTGCACCTGTCCCACTGCTCCTGACAGGTTGACCTCGGTGAAGGATAGGTCACATGCAGAGGGCATTGTATTTCTTATTCTTAGGGGACAATAAAGTCTTTCTTAAAATCTTGGCCTAGTTTTGAATGGCCTTTGTCCTCAGTGTCCCCATTTCTGCCCATGATGAATATGGTGGCAAATTGCATATTGTGCTGAGGTTGGTTTGGTTCAACTCAATAAAATGAGGGTTAGCCAGTTCACAGAACACAAATGGACCTTAAAATCATGTATGTTAAAGCTGCATTGTGTACCTCTTCTGGTAGAGGGTCTGTCAAATGCTTTTCTCCATGGAGGTGTAATTGCTTTGTGTGGAATGTTTCACAGTATGACATTAAGCCTTTCTATATTCGTGGAGACCAAACCAAACCAAGTCACAGGTCAGATCTGTCGAAAGGGAACCTATTTTTCTATCTATTTTTGAGCTATAAATCCACCTGTAATTAAATAAACGTAAGACAGAGCTGTTTTATGTCATACTGTGGAACATTCCAGACAGAGTAATGACATATCCATAGAAACAAGAAGGTGACGGACCTCCAAATAAAAAGTTACGCAATGCACCTTTAATGGTTCAGTTTCACTTTGATTTGCAGATATATGACATCAACCAAATCAAAAACAAAATGGAGAAAGTTGAAAAAAAGAAAAAAAAAAAAAAGAAAAGCAAAATACATCCATGATCTATACTAAAATTTGCACAAAATTTAAAAGTCTTATGAAGCTTAATTTAGGCTTTTTTGACACCTTATCCATAATATTTCACATTATAGTTGAAGACTTATGCAAGACCAAGTAAAAGTACTTTTCTGATTTCTGAGTATATATATTTAAAAAAATAATAATAATAAAATCACCATAATTGCACTGAAGAAGCGAGAAGCAGCCAGCTATCATCTTTAGCCTGATTTGAATTGCGGCATAAATGAGATGCATGTTTGTGTGTAGACAATAATCATAATGAGTCTGGTAAAAACAACATAAAATGGCTAACAGTTAAAAAAAAGGCTAATTTAGGACATTATATTAACCTTTTTAATATTGTCTTTAAGTGTTTGTGTATTATATGTCATGATTGCATATGTAATTATGTGATTATTTGTAGATTTGAAGAGACTTTGTACAAATAAATTAAAAGAAAAAAATAAGTGAAGTCAGTAAGAACATCAAGACAACAAGTAAAAACCCATTAACATTTAACAAAAAAACATTTAGAAACAAAAAAGATGTGAAGTCACTTTGGATCAAATACAAACAGAAGACAAAAAAAATAAAATAATAATAATAATAAAAAGTAAGAAGAGAAATTTTGGGCAGAATGCATTTGAAGGCAGGAAAACGCAGAGGAAAGTCTCATAGCTCTATTCACAGCAAATACATGTTTCATTCAAATCAAATAGAAGAACACACAGCTCTCTGATTGGTCCTTTGCCAAGCCCCTCCCCAAAACTATTTTCAGCATCATGTTATTTGTTGATTCAAATAGCGTAAACAGCCAGGATGCAAGACTATATAACACAATTTCACTTTTTTTTTTTTTTTTATAATTACAAATATTAAGACTGCATAGCTCTTAGTTTTGGAGAATATTTGTTTACTGTGTTTGTGAAGGTTTTAATTGTCTTTTTATTGGTCATTTATTTTCATGTTTTCCCGATGTGTAAGCTATTTTGTTCTATAAATTAGCAAATTAAAATGTTTTGTTGAGGTTAGCAGGACTCAGCAAAGGCTTCCCAATTGCTACACTCGTTTGCACCCTGTTTGTCAAACTCTCTCACAAGGCACTAAAATGTCATTCAAGTTTTTCAATACGCAAGTGCTTTATGCATTTAAACCCCTCCACCCTCCCTGCGGCTCGGCCAATCACACGACTCCGTTTGAGTCAGCTGACCTGTCAATCACCCAGTCAAATATCAGCAGCGATTTTAACATAATAAAAACCTCGAGAAAAAGAAACAAGACGAGTTTCAAGGAGGGCAGGAAATTTGGTCCCATTTAAGTTCATAAGTTGTAAAATAAAATCTTTTCTCAGCTCAGTTTCTGTTCTTCAACATCAACATGTATCACAATAAATGAGTGAGGTTTCAATGAGTTTAACTAGTTATTGTTAGTAATGTCCATTGAATTTAATCAGTGGTCATTAATGTTGAACCTTATGTTGGAATTTAATAATAATTCTATACATTTTAAAGAATTTGTAAAATATCTTCAGTTTGTTCACAAAAAAATACATTGTGGTGGAGCCAAAAATAGGATGGATATTCTTACCAAACTTGTCCAAATAGTTTCAGACTAGTAATGAGTTGTGAAAATATTAAACTAACTAACTATATATTTTTTGGGAAAATTTGGAAATTCTTGTCCACAACTTGCATAATTTATCAGAACTTTAACAAGCTGTTATATTTTAAATTTAATAGACCTAAACTTTATTACTGAAAGAAAAATAAAAAGAAGAGGAAGAGCTAGTTAAAAATGCCTCAGTTGCTACAGTGTGGACCTCTTCTCCTCAGTCTTTTGCCTTGGGGATGTTAGTTGGAGGCTAGCAGCTCATTCCCTTCACTGTTGACTGTAATTGGCTGTGGTTGTCTGGGGTCCGGCGCTCAGTGGGAGTCCCCTCTGTTGAAGTGGTCCAGGACAGTAGAGTTGGTCCGTTCAAAGATCCACTGCTGGCTCTGAGAGGAGGGGTCACATGTGTTCATGAAGACTCGCCTCTCTGTGGGACTGCTGTCAATGCAGCTGTTACTGACCGGGTGGTACAGGCTCCGGTCCTGCAGACAAGAGAATATATTAAAACTGACAGCAAACCACCTTTTAAATATATTTATGGACATCCTGTTATAATGCCATTTCATTTGGTATAAGCTAAATGTAAGTGGCAAGACATAACTTAGAGGTATACAATTACTTTAACCTTACACAGCCAGATGAATTCTTGTGATATTTGTGAGTTAAAAAACACACGAGAATCCATTTTGGCCCCCCGCTGGTACGACAGGGCCCATCACAGAGCAACACTGAGGTTTGTATGGAAGCCAAAACTAAAGCTCCCGATATTCGTCATGACACTCCTCATTTTTCGATTGCTTTCAGCGGGAGCCATTCCAGATCGATAAATGTGTAGAGCTCAATTCAGAGTGACACACATATCAACCCGGCTTGAAAATTCCTACAATATTTTCACAAAGTCACAAGAATCCATTTTGTCATGGTCAAGCCACTGGATGCCCCGTCCAATCACAGGGCAGCACAGTTCAACCAACCAAAACAAACATGGAGACGGATGTAGTTTTCTCAATTGCTTTCAGCAAGAGCAAACTGCTTATACAGATAGATACATTTAATGCCATACAGTGGAACTTTTGAGGCAAAGCAATAGCCTCTCTAGCATCTCTAGGGGAAAATCTGTTGGCAAAATTAGATACAGAATCTTTAATGGGGAAAAAAAAAAAAAAAGCATTTGGCCAAAGAATGAACAGATAAATAACTTAAATTTATTTGTTTAACAATAAGTGGAGTTAATGTGATTAACTGAGATTCAGAAGCTAGACCACACCTCAACCTCCTCTCCAGCCAACCACAGCTCATCTCAACCACGCCTTCAATTACCCAGAAGCCCTATTTATATGGCCATCCCGACAACACAGTCTGTGTCAGCTCTCTCGACCCCCTCCCTCCCAACCTGTGTCTCTTGTCCATCCTTCAGTTTGCAGACATCATCTTTAAGTAGGGGGAGTTCTGAATCAGCTGGGTGATCATTTTGGATTGGAGACAGCGCCTGCACCCTGAGTCTCCCTCCAGCCATCATATCTATCCACCGTCAATAAAGATCTTTATTGTATTCCATTGTTGTAGCATGGTGCTTGCTAGTGAATGTAATATAATGTAATAGCACTAAACAGTGTCCTGTACCTTCCTGTATCTCCAGAGCTGGTTGCCCTTCATACCGTGGCAGTCATACAGGGTCACGGGGCTGTTGTGGGACACAGCATCAAAACAGACCTTCTTTGTGTGCATGGGGTCTCCAACACGGATATCCTCCCTCCAGCCGAACGTGAACACCTGTGAAACATCAACCAACATTTAAGGGCCAGTATTTTCTGATCTATTTCCTCATCACAAACAGAGTGGAGTTGTGTTTTGTTTCATTCACACATGCTTAATACACAACTCCTGCATAGGCTGAGTTCTTCTCTAACATTGAAAACAGTCTTCCACCTCGTGATGTCATGTGGTAATACCAGAAGTGCTCCATTGTGTTTTTTAAACTCCATATACCTTCACTAGAATCATTTGTATCAAAATTCCCAATTTAGAGACATTTAGTAGACAATTTCAGCACTGGAAATGCCAATCTGTACTGAACTAAAACTAAAAGGTAGGTAAAACTTCATGACATTACAAGATGGAACAGAGCATTTTGAGCTTTAGATGCAGATAGACCAATAATGCAGGGTTACTTAAACATGTGTGAATGAAACAAAACAACTCCAGGTATGGTTTTGAGGCAGTAACAACAATCTAACATGGCTTTCTTTGTGGATTTTTTTCTTTTTGTTTACTAAAATTGTATCCCCACCAGGCCAAGTGTAAAATCTCCTGTGGAACATTACTGGAAAAACAGAAAACACAAGGGAAAACTATATTTCCATTAGAACACAAGACAAAATAACTTTTTCAGTATCTTTATAAAGCCTTCAACTAAATAAAGAAAACTGTTATTTTACCATTCACTCAACCTGCAGGGATCTAAGTTCCAAAGTTTATTCATACAATAAACTAATGATTGCGGTTTTCCTGGGGCCCAGTTTGTGCACCTACCCACACATCTGCTTAAATAAATGACCTGTCCAGTTAGCCCTGCTGTAATAAACCTCCCTGTGATACAGGGCCTCAGGGCTCACCTCACATCACACAACACACAACAATGCATCTGCAGATTACAATTAAAGTGTCACCAATGCTGCAACAAATAAACAAAACAGAACGTTCAATCTGAAGGTAGGAGAACATTACACTTAAATAATACACTGTAGTTAGTTTCAGTGTAGTGACCTATTTGGATGAGTGGCGAAACATATTAACTCAAAAAACTCAGTTCTTTGCTTTAGGTATGGACCCAGCCTGAGGGATTACAAAGACATTTTGATTAGGGACAATATATTGGGTGGATAGATGGACTTTTTTGCATCGCAGCTATTTGCCTTAAATCTTCTGCACAGGTCGATATTTTGTTTTGGTCCATCTGCTGCAAAAGAAAGTTTTATATACGAAAAGATAATAGCACAAAATGGGCACAAAAGCAGCACAAAATGGGCACAAAAGCAGCACAAAATGGGTTTGGGATGGGTTTGTAGTAAATAAAAATTGCACAAACAAAGGAAAAAAAAAAAAAAAAAATCCAATATTGGCCCTATATATTGGCCCAAAAATGTCGGCAGAGTTCATCTGCCACTGGGTTCTCTGGATTCTAAACAATCGGTATCAGCAGTGGCCATTAAAAAACCCATATTGGTCAATCTCTAATCTCAATATCAATAATAAGAATATATTTTTGCAATCTAATGAAAATGTGTTAAATATGCCTCTAACTGTTTTGGCTGAAGGTCAAGTATTCCCAAAAAGGGAATAGGTGTACTGTAAAATCTATCTAAAAAAATACCTTTGTACCCTACACTACACGTTTCTTTTGTTTCACTTTCCTCAGCGCACTGCTTCTGTCAAGTAGCGTTTATTAAAAATGATATACTGAAGATTTTTGCATTTCCAAAAGTGAATGCAATCTTATAAATTTTTCAATACATCTCCCATCTCTACCGGTGTTTACCAATCGTGAATTTGTTATGAACCCTTGTGAGGATCAGCAGCCTTGACTTGAATTCTTTGCGTTCACTTTAGTTTGGCCTAGTGAGAGTGCATACCAAGTTTCTAGTTTTTCTTGGAATTCAGAAATGTTCACAGACTTGACTTAAGCAGAGAAAATCGAGGTAGAAAGCTGATGTTCCAAACCTGTCCGTGTCCCCAACCCGTCTCTCCTCTGCCCTTCACACAGGTGTCCAGGCGGATGGGGCTCCCGGAGACAAAGTGTTTACTCTCCAAACACAGCCCACTCGCAGCATTACGGATCTATGACAATAAACATTACATGAAAATACACATTAAAGGGCCTGTATTACACTATTTTCTGTTGTTTCCTCATGAAAAACATACTTGGAATGGTTTCATTCACACATGTTTAACAACCAAATCCTACATATTTAGGCTGATTTCTCTCAAACGGAAAACACTCTGTTCCACCTTGTGATGTTATCTGGTAATCCAGCAAGTGCTCCACTGTTTTTAAACTCCATACACCTTCATTAGAATCATTTGGATCATTTCAGACTTGGAATTACCAATCTCATCTGAAGTAAAAGGTAAAAGGCAGCTGTTAAATTGAAAACTATGCTGTCTACGATTCATGGCATCCCAAGGTGGAGCTTTGTAGATGTAGATCAGGGGTCTCCAACCTTTTTCCTCCAGTGAGCTACCTTTACAAAATAAAAATGCCAGAGGCCTACTCATATTAGCGGCCACAAGAAATTGAGATGATTATAAGAAAGAGGGCGAGCCTTGGGGTACAGTTAGATGCCTACAAACATAAACCATTGTCAATTTATTAGTGCACAAAGTTGGGCTTCAAAATTACATGTTGACAATAGTAATAGGCATGTCATTAACCACACTTCGGATATTCAGCACAATGGTAGAATTCCAAAATCCCTTGGCAAGCTACTTGGAAGGGGGCGGAGAGCTATTGGTAGCTCCTGAGCTACAGGTTGGAGACCCCTAGTGTAATCTAATAATAAAGCATTACTCAAATATGTGAGAATGAAACAAACCCAACTCCAGGTCTGTTTTTGTGGAGATAATGTTCTGATAAGGCTTGAAGGTCACAAGTTTATTTTGCATAACATTTGCATAACTTTATATTTTTTAACATTTCTAACAATAGCATACCACTTTTTCCATATTCTTGTCTTGAAATAATATAAATAAGTATATCAACAAAAAGAACACTGTTTCTCAAACTCGGGTACAGGTACCATTGATAGTTGGTCCTTTTTTGGAACTACTTCAATTATGGTGCAGTGCAGGGGTGGGCAAAACTTTTTACACATCTCCCAACATGGTCCAAAGATCGATCAGTAGATTTCTATGAATATCGCACTAGTCTAGCTATGCAACTTCTAATGAAAAATCTCCTCTCTTTTGCTACTTTACATGTTTTGAGGATTTGGTGATGGACAGGAGCTCCATGGCAACGCTTGACAATTTCTGAGTCAGCTTTTCTTTTGCTCAGAATTTATGACAGAAAAGCACAGTTGTAAACAGGTAGTATATAGTATGAGTTCTGTTTCAGACAAGCTTTCTGGTGTAAAAAGTTTGAGAACTATCGATTCTGAGTAGATAAACCCGTACCTCTCCCCAGGCGGCAGCAGGGGGCTCCACTGGGGGGTAGTGCTTGGGCAGGTCCCAGGCCACTTCCTTCATGAACCATTTGAAGCTTTTACAGTTGAGTTTGGCTCTGAGCTCCTTCTGCGCCGTCATGTCTCCGGCCGACAGGTGTCTGTACTCAGGGCGACGCTGGTAAATATACTCTGCGTATTCGTCCATCCACACCTCAGCCACACGCTTCAGGTTCTACAAAAAACAAAGCAAATAAGTCATAATATTATCCTCTGCACCCACATACTGACTCACACCTTTTGTTTTATTTAAGGCCAAAAGTAGATCTTAAAAAGGCTGCAGAGAAAGGAGGAAAATGACTAAAACAAGTTTATTAGAACTTTTCCACAAACACCAAACAAGGAAAGCTAAAAAACAACATTGTATTCTTCGACTTTGACAAACTTTATTAATCCTAAAGGGAAATTATTGAACACAGTAACTCAGACATCACAATATAATCTAATAACAAAATATCCTTGAGAATAAATCCAAAATCAGTTGGAAACACAGCAAGCGACTAGTGTCAAATAAGGTATAGATACAAAAGTAAAATAAAATATAGAAATATAGTAATACAAAATATATCTGAGCTATATACTATATATAAGAGGTGGGTAAGGAGGAACAGTGCAAAGATGAAACAGTGATTGACATAACAGAAGGTTATCTATAATGTATATGGGATATTCATATATTGATATGCTGTAAAATATCCATATATTTAATCTGCAATATGTTATTAAAGAAGAAATAGTATGCTTTTTTGGCATTAAACTGCAATATTGATCTAAAACTGTATAATAATGGAAAAGGGTTCACTGACTTCTTTCAAAGCTGAAGAGAACAACAGCAGAATGGCCCACCTGTTCCTAGTGGCATTTTACTGTAATAAACAACAGATTTTCATTTAATATGTTTTTAAATGTTGAAAAAATAACTTGGAGTTGAGGTCTAAACAAGTTTTCTTCAAAAGTGCACTATGTGACTTTTTGGTTGGGGCTATGTCACCTGTTTCTTTCTATGTATATGTCACTGCTCTGCCTGAAATGTTCCACAGTATGACATTAAAACGTTTTACCTGACATTTATTCTATTACAGGTGGTTTATAGCTCAAATACAGCTAGAAAAACAGGCATTATGACTATGAGTGGGGTTGACTCTCCATAGATCTGACCTGTAACTTGGTCTGGTTTAGTTTCCATGATGATAGAAAGGTTTAATGCCATACACTGTGAAACATTCCAGACAAAGCAATAACATCTCAATGAACAAAAGCATCTGACGGTCTCTCTACCAGAAAAGTTACACAATGCACCTTTAAATAAACTGCCAAAGTATGCCAATATATTAGTAGTTTGACTGTGACTGCCCTAGTATCTGGTGTTAAACAGTGCTGAATATTGAAGGGACACAGTGAATTAGCAGCAGCAGAGTGAAGGCAGAGCTCGAGGTGAGAGCTGTGTCTTTTGGCCTGGAGCGAAGTCTGGCTCTGTGCGCTGGGTTCAGTCACTCAGAGCTCCAGGGAATCTCACTTTATCTCCAAGAAATGTGCTCTGAAAATATCGGTCTGAAACACTGTGAGCTGCTGGTGTAAAACGCTATAATACTGGGAATTATAACTAGTCTGGAAATGGGTGTGACGGTGGGGTAGAGAGTTCACTATGCAAAACTGACTTTTTTATTGAAAATATGAAGTTAAGGTGGTGCAATTAATCAGATTTAGAATTGTAATTTCAGTTACATTCAGTTTCTGTTATTTCAATTGAACATCAGATCAGAATGATATGAGCATTCATTCTACCACTCAAAATAAGTATAAGTTTAAGTACAGAAAACCTAAAATTGTGCACCACTTTCTTCCATTTTATAAAGAAGTTTAAATGTTTAACTGTGGGCAGATACATGAATTATGATGTTTAGTTTGCACTACAGTACTTTGTTGTACTGTTACTGATTTGTTTGTTTCCTCTTGCTGTATTTATGAAGATGAACTGGTGTCAAGATGACGCTCTGACAAAGGAATAAAGGGTAAAGGCATAATAAGCTCAAGCCTCAGCCTACACCTTTTCAGTCTATGAATATACCTGTGCCCGAAATAAATGAAATAAATGAATCAATCAATCAATCCCTGTAGGTGCTGCTCTGTCTGGGGCTTTATTAGACTTTAATTTGTGCTTTATTTTAACACAATCTAAACATAAAAACTGGCTTAGCTGGAACTACAATACATGAATTTTTCTTGAGTTTTCTGACAATCTTAAAAGATTTTTGTCTGTGTTTGCTATTGTGTGCACTGTGTCACCATGGTAACTCCTAAACATTTCACCATTACAGATAAATGTAGAACTCCCCTGAGTGTGATGTAACTGCAAATCATTGTTTTTTGTTCTAATTGTTTTCTAGATACTGAGGTTATATTTATTTGAAGTTTATTTTATGTGTAACACCCTATTTTCTGTATGTCAATCATTTGAACTTATTTTATATTTTACTTTTTTTACTCATTGCTTTATAAAATGTCGGATAAACTATTAACACATGTCTATGTTCTTAAATGGTGATAAATTGTGTGAGACTCACGCGGGCCAGACTGACTCCTCCTGGGACCTTATATGGGACGTACTTCCTGTAGATGTGTCCCACTCTGGAACAGGGGATGTCCTCCATTCGGCCTCCGCACATCCAAACCTGCAACGGGACAGAGGACATTAGAATAACAGTCCAGTGGTACGTGGATTCTGCTGCAATTCAATAATTTCCAGTTTTTAAGAGGCAGTTTTATTCATATTTTGAGCTCTTTCAGTCCTCGTCCTTGCTGAAAAGGTGTAGGCAGTTAGACCTGGGATAATCCTGTTTTAGACCTGGATTAGATCTGGTGGTCCTCAGAAGACCAAATATTTTCTGGTGTGTGCAGAATTTGGTGTGAGAATTTTGAGAACCACTGCAGATTGCACTGATTAGACCAGCGGCCCCCCAACCCAAAGGTCAGAGGATTGATTTAATTTTGCTATTTTTTTTGCCTCATGCTGCTTGTGTTTAAAGGAAATGAATGCTATTTTTAGTCTCTGCACTGGTATTAGGGCCAAGTATCATTAAGAAGTTGCCGATAGTACATAATACATACATAGGCCACAATACGATACATATCTCGATACAGCACACTTTTGATTTGATACGATATATTTCAAAACGATTCGATACGGTTCAGTAAAAATAGTGGCTAAATCAGGGCTGTAGTACTAAAAGTCTTTGTTAAACCACTTCTTGTGCGAAGTGAATATGAAAAACGCCCATTTTACTCATCAAAACAGTGAAAATGTCAAATGTGTTGCATAAACAAGTTTCCTTCCTCCAAACAAGCAACAAAATTGTAGCACTGTAACAAAATAATTTAGTAAACTATACCAAAAAATACTCTTGCCGATATATTGATACAACAGCCCATGATATAGGCACTGTATCATCACTTAAACTATACTATATATTTCGACATTTTTACACACCCCTATCTGGTATCGATTGATATTGGCTATCGGCACAAAGAAAGTATCGCCATCGGTATCAGAACAAAAAAGCTGTGCATGTGGAGTGAATGAATGATGCAATGTAAAGCGCTTAGGGTTGAAAGGCGCTATATATTCATCAAATTTGTTTATTATAATTAATACTAGTCCGTATTGTTATTCATATTAACATAATAGTACTTTCTGTACATTGCACAAACAAAAACGGTCCAAAACAATATTCAGCTCCACAGTAATGTATAAATAGAAAGCGCTGGTATAAACAGCAGCTAAAGCTAATTCATGTTTGGTTTTCGCATCGTCGCCAACCCAGACTCCTTGGTGACTGGATGCACTTTGGCTACTTATTTACTTCCTAATTAAATAATACTCTTAAGTCTCCCTTTTCACCAGCAGTGGATTTTATCGTGGCAGTTAATTTAATGCAATGTCCTGTAACGCATTTATTCTTCTTGTCGAAAATTTATTTGCAAACATTCAGCGTTCCCCATCTCAGGAGAGAAGCGTAAAACCGAAGAGGCAGCGGAGGGGAAAACAACCTCTACTAAATTAGATCTAGTAGTGAATTTTTATTAATAGGAAACGGCTTGAATCACATGGCAAGTCCCTGTACGCCCAATCAAAATACGCTCCCCTCGCTCTTTATTCACTCAAAGCAGGATTCGATTATAACAACAGTCCTTCAGCGTTGTTAGCATGCACCGCGTGTCCTACCCAGTTATGGACGCTCTATACAATAACTCATGTAGAAAAAAAAATAGACAAGGGCCTAATCTAATAAGGTTTTGGTTGTGGAATGATGAATGCAGACTCAACAGAGCATGGCCGGATCACACAAGAGCGGAAAGAACCACCAACAGCAACAAGTGCCCAGAGTGCAGAAATACAGGGGAATACAGGGAGAGAGATGAACAGAAAGGGAGGGAGAGAGCGAGAGCGAGGGAGCGAGGGAGCGAGGGAGCAAGGGAGCGAGAGAAAGGAAAGGGGAGAGGGAGCAGAGGGTGGCTTTATACGGCTGAGTGGACTGAATGAAACATACTCAAAGCAGGCTGCTGCTACTGACTGCACAGAGAGGGAAACTACACTAAAATATTTCCACTATCATGGAAATATATGTAGTTTGAATGGAAAATATTCTTAAAATGAACTGCATGTAGCTTGCGTTCTCAAAGTTTTGAAAAGGCAGAACAATCACAACTGAACCTTAATGCTCTTGAAAGCTGAGAGCCTCCAGAATCCCCTCACTGAGCTGCACTAGCACTGATAATGATTGGCTGTGGGTGCTGAGGTTGAGGCAGTGAGGACTCAGATCAGAGAGAGGCATTTTAGGTTTAAACCAATTGGATTTTAGACATTTGGCAACACAAATGAGAAACTCATGGGAGGCTCATTCTGCTTTTTGAGTGTATAATTGTCTTGTGGACTAAGACATGAAATTATAACACAAGCAACTTTGCCATCATGTCCACTGTCTTTATAACTGATAATAAATCAGCTCTACCATTATTGTACCTTGTATATGGCGCATAGATCGTATATATGACACAGTGGGCATAGCTAAAATGTTTGCTGCCGTCTGCCAAATAGGAAGTTCGCCAGGAGGCTCTTCTGGCTCATTCTGACACTGGCTCCAATTGACTTCCATTGGGATCTTGTCGCCCCCCCCCTCTCTGTAACTGCTGCAGTGAGTCTCGTCATTTCGGTCTTAAAATGTTCGTATTAACCCGATCTACATGATCCAGAATTATTTTTTTTACTATTTTGTCCATCAAAAAAGTCCTATTCATAACATAGAGCCTGACTTCAGATTCGCTCCTGTAACCGTTAGCATTGTGAGCCTCATTTGAGCGGCGCTGAACGGTATGGGTGACGTCAAACTCGCTTAGTCCACTTCTTTTAAACAGTCTATCGTATGGAGACAAAGTTTAACAAGTCATGTTTATCAGATTAAAATTTAAATCTTACATGCAGTTTCATATTAAGGTATACTGTGTAATTTGTTCACTTGTCCTCATGGAGATATAATTTCTTTGCTTAAGTGTACCAGAGTATGACGTTGAACTCAATCTATCTCCATTAGGCAAACATTTGACAGAAAGCTACCACACACATAAACAATGCATGTTTTACCAAGGTTTTGAACAACAAATATCTGCAATAGCATAAATGCAATATGGATATGTTTAATTGTTTAAATCATTGTTTTGAAGATATACTAAATTGGAATTTGTGTAGATAATTTTACAATGGATGTCTTAAAACAATAGTAGATTTAAAATAACATAATAGTGACACATGCAGTTGTTAGCTCTTCTTCCCGTTTTGCCTGTAATGACTTCCTGTGGGACTGTTTGCATACCTTGAATGAGATCTCGTACTGCTCTCCTCCCCAGATCTCCAGACCGGTGTCATACCCACCCAGCTCCCAGAACCACTTCCTGTCCACAGCAAACAGCCCTCCAGCCATCACCGGAGACCTACACACAGGAGCACACATTATAATGCATTTAAAACACAGAATAGAGTGGAGTGGCTGAATAATGCAATTTCAGTGTAAGGCATACTATAGGTAGGATTGTCCTAATATAACACACTGATATTGGCAAAAGTTCTTATAGGGCCATTTTTCAGGTATCTCCATTTGCAAATACTCAAACCAATTCACTAAACTGATACCAAGCTGTATAGGGATGGGACAATTCTCAAAAAAAATAAAAAATAAAAAAATAGTTTGATTCTGGTATTCAGTTCGATTCTGTGTTGAGTTCAATTCTTTCGTGTCTCTCCATGCACAGTGTTTTGGCCAAGCCTGGGGTCCTTTCTTAGATCCAGAAAGTAAACAGTTCAGTAGAGGCTTAGTGCTGCTATAGTCTAACAGAGATGAGTTTCATCTTTCAGTCACTTTTTATTTTATGGTGTTAGACTCAGAAAACCGCTGTGGGCTTCTACCCTGTGTTTTTAAAGTTTAATTCATATGTTAATACGCCCTGTAATTAATTTCTGTGTTCCTTGACATGCTGTGTATGTTTTTGGACTTTGGAGTGTCAATGAGGTTGGGATATGATGTCAATGGTGAATGTATATGGGACAGATAAGGGGTGTGTCTCCAACCTTTAGCATCTGCCAGTCTGTTATGGGACACGTGTTGGGACAAAAGTGCTGTGTATTTTTCCATAAAGATGTTAACTCAACAGTTATGCTGGTATAAAAGGCACCCAGTGTTTCTGTGCATCAGTGGGGGAACGCCGACCGCGTTGTCGAAGGACGACTGACGCACTGAGAGACGCCGCGTAGGCAAAATCATGCTGAATCAACTTGAATCTTGAGACCTGTATCTGCCTGACTCAAATAGAGACATGTGAGACCTGTTCTAACTCTCCAAGCCTCTTTCTTAACATCCTCTGTTCAGGCTGCCTCCAGGAGAAGCTGACACCGCTTTTTGGCTTTATGCATGACTGTCAAAAGTGCTTGTAATTCACACGCCACTCACGTTACCGTGATCCTCAATATGACTTAGTAAATAACCCATTTAAACATTATTATGTCTTATAACATGTTTAGTGGCAAAAAGAGGAGAGGAATGCACGTTTTTTATCAGAGGGATGAGAGGGGCTAGTGCTGGGAACAAGGCAAAAACACACAGATACACACACGAGAGAGTGAAGAGGAGCAGATACCTTTAGCCATCAAAATAAATACATGCAGAAAACTGAAAGATTTGCTCGTGATATTTATGTCTAATAGGCTTTCAGTAGCAGATTATGAACAATGGGTTCACACAGTTTTTATTTTATTTTTTTATTGATTGTAACCTAAACCATTAAACAAAATATTTATTCATAGAGGCCCACTGCTACGAGTCTGGCAGCCTATTTTTAATTTCATTTAGAAAGTTACTAATTAGTTTTATTATGAGTTTATTTTAGATATCAACAGCAGGAACACAAAATGTGATGATTTATTGTTCATTCTAACAAAAGTTCTAAGCATTAATAACAATGACTTTATTTTATAATTCAGTTTTAATTGTATATTTTGTGTTTTAAGATAATAATTAATGTTAATTTAAATAAGTTATCAAAATCAAAAAGAAAATCAGGAGTCCAAAATCTAAAGTTTAATCGACTCGTGACTTAAGTGAATCGTCCCACTGCTAATGTTGTGTTCTGAGCCATTGTATAGTGAAGTGATATATGACCATTTTAATGAGCAAAATACATTTTAACAAAAGTTATTCTTTGTAAAACCACTGCCTGCAAAAACCTAATATGAAATGCATTTTATCATCACAGTGAATATGTCAAATGTATTGCATAAACACATTTTATAGCACTGTCACTAGAGCGATATATTACATCCGCACACAATATCCACTGCATAAACAATTTTGACATTCTAGCGCAGACCTAATGTAATTCAGTTACTATTATTATTATTATTATTATTTTTAACATTACAAACTCGAACATATATAACTGGTGCACTTTATGCATGTTTACTGTTCTTCAGTGCTGAGATGCATAAACTCTTTGCTCTTTGCTCTGCCCTGTTAAAGTTGTGAGTTGGGCTAAGAAACTCATAGTGGTGAAGAATCAGCATATTAGAATATGTTAGGAAAGTGAAAAATGAGACTGGACCACAGCCAACACATTAAAATGTAATATCGCTAATTTTCAGAGTTTGAAAACAGTAATAACCTGGTAATTAATGGATTTTTAAATCAAATTCATTCCTCCACAATCTGAACTCCAAATCTCATGGTTTATTACCACAGGCTTACAAGTACAATTTTCTTTGACACATCTCCTCTGCTCCTGTGCTACTGCTAAATGCTGCTAAACTCATGTGCTGGTGTCTCAGGTCTTTCTCATGTTTGATCACTGGAAGAGAAGCCCTTTCCACCAAAAACTTCCTGCTCACAGAGTGGATTTAATGAGAGACTGTAGACCTCAAGGAGCCAAAAGACCCTCACTGTACTCAAAAAAACTACACAAATTTGTCTTTTCAGAACTTTTTAACATGCTATAATTGTTTTCTTTTTCATTTACAGTACCCACTCCAGGTTGTATTCATAATGATTCATTCATGGCTGACTAATATTTCTTCCCTGGTATTAGACGTCATTACTCCAAAAAAAAAATATGAGATTTCACCAATTCCTGATACACACTCACTGCTCTGTACTCACTTTGTGTTGTGAAGTGATTCTTGTGAGCTTCCGGCTATCTCAAAAAACATACCCGGGTAGTTGTATTTTGCTTCATTCGCACATGTTTGATTTATTTATTATTTATTACTAGTCTGTCTACATCTCCAAAGCTCAAAATGCTCTTTTCTACCTTGTGATGGCCTTTGGTGATAGTTTTCCAGTTGTTAGCTTTAATTTCAATTAGTTGCAATTCCAGGTCTGAAATCCAATCCAATTGATTCAGTTAAAGGTGTATGGAGTTCAAAAACTTAGTGGAGCACTTCCTGTATGACCACATGACATTATAAAGTGGGAGTGTTTTCTGTGTGAGAGAAGAACTGAGCCTAAATATGCAGAATTTGTGAATTAAACAAAACACAACTCCAGGTATGTTTGTGATGAGGATTCAGCAGATTCAGATGGTGTTACATCAATATTTCTAAAATATAATGATCCATGGGTGTAATAGGTTATAACTAGCGGGCAAAAGTATGTGTAGCCAGGCAGGCGCCACCTAGTGCCTCTGCTCAATTTCATTTGTCTCCAGCAACTAGGTCAGGAATCAAAATCCACTAGACGGTTTGCAAAAACCCCAGAAATGCGAGTTCGGGCACCAGTCAATCAGTGAAGAGCCATATATTCAGTGTTGTCAACGATTCCTGAGATTGAGGATTTAAAGGCGAAATAAAGAAAATGTTTGGTGAGATTCATCAAGGGGAAAGATGTTATTGCCCTTCTTTCTATGGGATTTAGGAAAAGCTTAATATAACAACTAGCCCCGTAACTGGCACATTACATACATGACTACCAAATAGCAGCAATTGGTTAAATGATAAAAAGTACCTGCCTACCGTCGAGCGAACAAATCCTAATGCTGTGAGGTCAGACGTTTTCTACAAAGTGAAACCGGCTGATGAATCAGGCTAAAGTATGTGTTTTTTTAAACTAATAAATCAACCAAAATACTGGCAGGTATTAATCAACTTCTATGAATCAGCATAGGCCATGAAAAATACTTTAAAAGTCAAAACCCTCTACAGTTACAGAATCTACACAAATTATGCAAATAACTAAACTAGAGAAGACAATTTATCTTTATATTTTTACTTTGAATTCAAACATTTTTCCTTTTTGCAGTGTGTCTCCCTGTCTTCCCAGCATGCATTTCCCCCCTGTGCCAATGTCAGCACGACAGAAAATGGAAATCTTTGGGTCTAAATTGGATTTGGGCTGATGGAGGCCAGGGGCTGGGACAGAGGAGCGCCCTAATTCACTGAAGTAGCATTGATTTGGATGGTTGGTCACTTGGTTTCTTCTTTGTTAGCGTCTTATCTCGCGGCGGGTCGTGCTTTCTACTGTATCTCAAACGCTTCAATAGTCCCACAAGTCTGCTCACTTATTTCAATTATCTGAAGCAAGACTGTGTAGTACATTTTTCACTATAATCACAGCGGCAATCCTAATTCTGACAATTATTTCTCAAGGATTTCTCTCACCATTTTGATGTAAAAATAATCAGGACTTACAACTTAGTCAGATAATTTTAAAATCGGTAGAGGAAATGTAATTTTACTTGACTGAACTGACTGATTAAAATTAATTGAAGAAACTCATAATATGTTAAGGCTTCAAGCTGATGTTTATTACACAAAATGGGGTAAATCGTCTAAATATCGTAAAGTAGTTTAGTTGATGGTGATGAACACATTCCTAAAACAAAGATGTCCATATTCTCACTCACTCAAAAGGCTCACTGGGGTCGTCCTGCTGTAGCTCTGATGGGATGGGGATGCGTTTGTAGTACATCTCCCAGTCAAACGCTCCCCTCATGGCGTCTCCGGCCTGAGTCTCGTAGCCAAAGTTATCGTGGTCAATGACGTCAATCATGGGGCACACAATGGTTTTTCTGTTTGTGGCAATACGATCTGAAAAAAAAAAAAAAAAGGTTCAGACAATGTCATGAGAAATACACAAACATATTTTTGTACGGTGTAGCATTTTTGAGGAAGGGTCTCCATGGAGAAATTGTTTTTTATGTCGATATATAGGCATTTATTCAATCAAATCTAGTTTTATTGCTAAGAACACCCTGAAAAACATGCATTCTAGGATACATCAGACGAGTAGCATTGCCCGGTGTCTTCATCTGATTGTCTCCATGGGGATGGTACTGTTTTCCACAGTATCTATCTACATGAGTTTTTCAATTTTGCTATACCTTCAAAAATACTTGTAAATAGTCATATTTTTATATACCGTATTTTTCGGACTTTAAAGTGCTCCAAATTATAATGTTGAATTCTCTTGTCTATTTTCATACATAAGGCGCACTGGAATATAAGGCATATTAAGTGAAACAAACAGGCAACACTTGAGACTGATCCCTTAGAGTCCAGGCATCCACGATCCATTGGCAGATCGTGGCGTACTGTAACTTGCCCGGTGTTGCCTCCCTGTCTTGGTGAATGTGTATTATGAATGTGGATGGATAATTTAAGTTAGTTTTTTAATTTCCTATGAGAAGGACTCAAATATACATTGAGTAATAATGTGTTTAATACAGCTTCACACACATTTGCTTAAATTTTAGAGAAACAAAACTTAAAACTACTGATTTTGTTTTACCTTGCTCAAATAAATAATAATAAAAAAAATAAAAACCTGGCTAATTTGCATAATCTATAAGCGGTGTGGCTTCGTAGTTTACCAAAGTTGTACTAAAATATTTTGACAGATTTTTGAGTGCTGTTTACCACATAAAAATAGGTCAGTATGCACAACCAGAATTAATACATAGGGCACATCAGATCATAAGGTGCACTGTCGACTTTTGAGAAAATTCAAGGATTTTAAGTGTGCCTTAAAGTCCGAAAAATACAGTATCTCTTTTCCATGTTCAAGGCACTCAAAGCACTTTTACTTCATGCACAAACAATCATACACCAGTGTACAAAGACACTGGGGGCGAGGTGGAGGTGGGTTAAGTGTCTTGCCCAAGGACACAATAACAGCATTTATCTATGGGAGCTGGAATCACACTGCCAAATTTTGGATCAGTGGATAGTCTACAAACTGATCTACTATCGCCCACTTGTACTTGAATAAATGTAAGAAAGGTAGGTTTAACGCCATACATTACAGGCAAAGCAACAACATCTCCACAGAGACAAGCATGTTGCACCATGAAATGTTACATGGTGCACCTTTAAATAATTTCAAACTTGAAGCTGTGACTATCAAAGTAGCAACCTACTGTGAAACCTACTTTGAGCAAGATTGTGGTCTGGCGGATTCAAACAGGTCCAAGTACTGCACTGTGGATAATGATAGTCTTGCATTGTTAATACCACTCTATCCTGTGCAACCCTCCCAGACACAGGGCTTATATGGAGAGCACTTCCATATCACAGTCTTATTTCCACATCTCCAGCGTTCTGCCCTAAACCTCAAACTCAAGCACCACTCCTGCCAGAGGGTGCTTCAGTGACACTTAAAAATGCTATGGCCTTTTCCCTCACTCAAAAACCGAACACGGCTACATTTGAGAGACACTGTATATTCAAATGGAAGTTCAAATGTGAAAAGCTTAAAATGCATGTGTTTTTTATGTCCTTCCATACTTTGAAGTGAGCTGTTGTGGCTACCTGGCAGGCACAAAAAGCAGTTTTTGAAAATCTTGTATCTGAGCTCAGTTTTTAACATAATTTCTTGGAATTTTAAAGAGGCAGGGTCCGTGGCCTGCTTGTCTCCATGGAAATGTTATGGATTTGTCTAGAATGTTCCACAGTGACAATTAAACCCATCTATCATGAAGGGGACAAGAAGGTTACAGCAATTCAGATCTGTGGAGAGTCGTCCCTATTCACAGAAGGAATTATTGTATTTTTGAGCAATATAAACACCTGTAATGCATAAACGCTAAATGGATATATGTTTAATGTCATACTATTCCAGGTAAAGCCATGACATTGCCATGGAGACGAGCAGGTAGTGGACATTCCCCCAGAAAAGTTGCACAGTGCACCTTTAACCAACTAAGAATTGCAGCTTGTGAAGATCAAAGGATCAAAGTTATGCGCTGTTGGATTGTGTGAAATGATTGTTTGTTTTTCCTGTATCCATGGAGACTGACCAAGAATATCTATCAAATACCTGTAATAAATATTCATCATAGTTTTACAGCAGACAAGTGGGTGTTTATGAAGAAAAGTTATGAGAAAAGTTAAAAAAAATAAATAAAAATGAGTACTAAAAAGGAATCCCTCTATCTATGTAAGCAATACATGGAATTCCAAACAAATGGTGTCTCAAAACTACTTAGATTTAATAATACAATGTTCTAGATAAATTGTAATCATCATTGTAAATATCACCTCAGCCATTACGCCACTTTGCTGCTAATTTAATTATAGGGCTGGAACCAGTTTTTTTCCAAGTAGTTGTTTGTCCTTTTACAGGTATGTTGTATAACCAGCTCTTATAGTAGAAATGAGACCGCTATGTGCTCTCTGCATCTAATTATAAAGCAATTTATCCTCAGTAAACTAGGAACTACGCTGTTAGCATGCTGATGCTTGTTTGCATTATGGTGACGGCAAAACTGCTCTGGCCTCTAATAAAGTAATCACAGTGAAAAATTAATATGGTGCTAGGGATGCATTAAGACAGAGGAATGACTTTGGACAGATGCAAACAGTTTAAATTGAAGTAGTTCAGTAGAGACTGTGGCCGCGTCTCATTTCTCTTTCCTCACTTCCTTCTCCATGATTCCCTCTCCTTGAATCTACAGGAAATGGGTGAGAATGTCCCGCCCACAAAGGAGACAGAGGGAGGAGAGAGGATATAAACTCCTCACTGAGACCAATAAAATTTTATTATTTTCTCTGATGTCATGTTTACTCCTTCCTTCTGTGGTTTTCTTTGGGACACCACTTAATATGACACATTTGGCAAATGAAAAATGGAGGATCGAGGAAAGAGAATTGAGACACGGCCCACGTCAGAGATTGTGTGCTAATCAGTTCATGTACAGTTGTAATACAGAGTTTACTTACAAACACTTTTAGAAAATACCAATCTATTTAATGACATTTGTGCTTGAGTAGCAAGTTGCAGTTCTCTTACCGAGCAGTGGGGGGAGCCAGTTGACGTTGGCCTCACAGTGGGAGTCCAGGAAGGTGATGACTTCTCCTTTTGCTGCAGAGGCTCCGAGTAGTCGAGTCCGGATCAGACCCTCTCTTTTCTTTGTCCTCAGGATACGCACTTTAGGGAAACGCACCATGTACTCCTCCAGTGACCCCTTCAGGTGTTCTGTGGAGAAATAGACAGATAACAAAATAAAAAAAAACAAAAAACAGCTCAATTGTTTATTCTTAGAAAGTCTTGAAATGACAAAACATTCCAATCCATGCAAAAATCTGAAGTTGAAATCAATACATTTTCTTTCATTTATGGTCAAAAATACAGCAATTTATCCTTTATAAGAATTAATACATGTTTTTTTCAGTGTATATCCCTGTGGAGAAGCATGGTATATTGCTTCAGGTGTTCCACAGTATGGCATTAAAATCATCTATCTTGCATGTATTCTATTAGGTCCATTAGGTGTATTCTATTAGGTGTTTTAAATATGTATGTTTTTAATGCATTATAGATAGATTAAAGGTCCTATATTACCTGAAACTGATTCTTATGAGTTTTAAGCCAAGTTAGAATGTTGTTACCTCCTCAAAAACATACCCAGAGTTGGTTGTTGTTTCATTCACACATGTTTGAGTAACTCTTTAGTATTAGTCTGTAAGCGTGTAAAGATATCCAAGTCTCACAATATGATTTCGTCACGGTATGAGCCTCACGGTATGATATTTATTGAGATTTTGTGGGAAAGCTCATGGTATGGTGGGGAGGCTCACGATTAGGGATGTAACAATATCCAAATCTCTCGGTACAATATTTTCACGATATATATCTCATGGTATGATATTTATACAAAACTATTAATATGCTACTTTTTCCTCTTTAAATGTCTTGACAAGACTTAATCCAAAGAACTAATATTTAAAAGTGCTTAGAACTGTTATTTCATCTTGTAGTCTGCACAGAAATGGAGCAAAGTATCATGGTTTTTGTAGTCCCCTCTGTCTTTTTTTTTAGCGATTGCTGCACCATAACTCTTAATTTAAGCAAAGAGATTTATAATTCGATATATTGTGATGATCCAAAATATTATTATGAGAACTTTGATGATATGATATCATGATATTTTGGTTATTGTTACATCCCTATTAGTTTGTCTACATCTCCAAAGCTCATTACCTTGTAATGTCATGAAGTGGTAGTTTTCAAGTTAATGCTACCTTTTACCTTTAGCTCAGTAGAGACTGGCAATCCCAGGTCTGAAATTATTCAAATGATTCTAGTGAAGGTGTATGGAATTTAAAAACACAGTGGAGCACTTCCTGTATAACCACATAATATCACAGTGCGGAGTGTTTTCTGTTTGAGTGAACAGAAACAAAAAAAACAACAACTCCAAGAACATTTGTGATAACATAGACTAGAGAATAGCGCAATATGGGCCCTTTAAGAAATGTTAATGCTTTAAAAACAATCCTTTTACACTCTTTGTGAACATAAACCATTCTTTAGTTATGTACTGAGAGAATAGACACTGCAAAGCCTTTATCTGAAGCAAAAGAAAAGCTTATAGCATTTAAATTGTACATTCATGCCACCAACTCTTTTCAGTTAATTCAGCGGGTTAATTCAGCTTTAGAATTCTGCTCCATTGGCGACATTAAAAATAATTGTGGCTTCTCAATGATCTCCGTGAACAGGGTTGTATAAGAACACGGTGCACTGGTAGAAATAAAGCTTTGAATGTGCAAGAAGAAAGTCTGCTGCTATACTGAAACATCGGGCAAATTAAACCACAAAAAGACCAGCCGTAACAAATGGAGGTAATAAAAAGTGAGATTGTGTGTTTCTTCAAGGATCAAATGTAAAATGAAGTTACTTTAATGTGTAGCGATTACAAGGGACATCTGCCACTGCCTCGTGCCCACAGAAATGAACTGCCACTGGCTATAAATGCAACCAAGTTTTTCTGGCTTCACGGGATGCTCCAAAAACATCTGTATCCAAGATTGCACCCTCGAGACAGAGATACCAATTGTGCAGAAAGAAAAAGATATAAAACTTAAGCTTTTGGATCAGATGGAGAAACGAACAGATGCAACTGCACTCAGGCTTTCTCTGGATAAACATGATTAGAGTGAACGCAAGCTTCTGAGATAATATCATTGGTAGGACTTTCAGAAATAATTTTGAAGCCCAATTTATCACTACATAGACATACTGCGATAAACAAATCATTTTAAAACTACTTTATATCATTGATAGAACAACAATAATGCAAGATAACCCTTGGAATCATTGTTAAATAGACAGTATCATTACGTGGCCTGAGCCACAACAAATAAGAGAATTAAGCAATAATTCCCTTAACCTTTAACAGCTCAAATGTTATTGCATCAAAACAAAAATATGCGAAATCTTCCCACTCCTACAAAGAAACTGTACACACGGTACATTTTAAGCCCCAAAATATATTGTTCCAGCTTTTTTATATTGAACAATAAATCAATATAATAATTATTGTGACAGGCCTAATCACTGGAGGTGCTAACAATCCAAGTCTACATTTTTACATTTTTGTATTATAATTTGAATTGTCACATTGATGGGAAAACAAGCAAACATTCAGTATCAAATAGGATTCAAATTAGAACTAAAAACAGTAAGATTTAGGGAAAAAAGAAGAAATAAAGACACAACATGCACACAGCAACTTTAGTGACTTGGTCTTTGATTGATTATGTAGGTTTAAAGGTGCACTATGTAACTTTTCTAGTGGACTGTCTGCCACCTGCTTCTTGTTTTGTAGATGTTATTGCCTTACTTGGAATGTTTGCAGTACAATATTGAACTCATTATCTCCACTGGTCAGATCTGTGGAGAGTCAGTCCCAGAAGAATGCATGTTTCAAGGCATGTCTTTAGCAATAAACATATCAAATAATATTAACTTACATAGATATGTTTACTACATACCATGGAATATTCTGACAAGCAAGAGAATCTGCCTGGAGACAAGCTTTGTGGTGAAACTTTAAACAGCTGGTACCCCATCTTAAAGCAACACTAACTTTGTAAAGGTGGGACACCACCTGAATGATTCCTCCTTCAGGCCAAATACAAGTCAGATTTTTGGAGATGCAAGCCAGTTCACAGTACATGCATGTTTATCTATATTTTTCAGGGAAATAAAAACACATAAACTGCAAATAAATACATGTAAAAACATTGTCTATTTTTCTATTATTTTTTCTTTCTTTCATTTTTTATTTTTTTTTATATCAAAAGTTACACAGGAGCTTTTAAGATTTAAACAAATTTTCCCAGCCTGTTCTAAACTCCACTCTGACACAATGAGTTTGAAAGGAGCCTGCTCTAACAGAGGACCTCACTGATGGACAGACGTGTGTCAGCCTGTGCTTCAGAAAAGCCCTCGGACACAAATCAATCTTGCTCCAAATGAAGCACTAAATCTCGCAAACACGTCGCTCTGAGCAGGTCGATTGAAAACGCACTGCTCCGTCTTCACATGGACACAGGACCTTAAGGGAACAGGAGGTGAGTGGAGCCAGAACCTGCAGTCAGCTGTGGAGAGGCTATCCCATTCACCTACTTTCTCACAGGTCAAGTTCAAGTTCTAGGATTTAAAGGTGAACATTTTTAACTTTTTGAAAGATGTTATTGCTTTGCCTAGAATGCTCTACAGTATGACATTAACTTATCTCTATAAACACAAGCGGGTGGCAACAGGTCAAATCTGTGGACCACATATGAAGATTACATAATTCCAAGACAACAGGTACTTAGGATTGAACTAAAACATAGGCATACAATTTTATATTTCATTCCTTATTTCTAAATAATATAAACAGGAAAAATTACCTCCTGTTCAAAACTGCAGAGCTGAAGTCCTGCCTCTTCATAGTTTAATTTTACCAGAACAAGCAGTAGACTTTAGTTTTTTGAAAATTATGACTCTGTCTGACACATGAAGGATTAAAAAAATAAATAAAAAAACATAGCCACTTTTCAAATAATTGTACCTATAAACAGAGATGTGGGTGAAGACAGGGAATAGGTGAAAATAGGACTTTTCCAACCACTTAAGCCTTGAATACAAAACAACACAAGCTCAAACATTACTTTTAGTTCAGTAGAGATTGACAATTCCAGGACTGAAATCATCCAAATGATTCTAGTTAAGGTGGATAGAGACTAAAAACACAGTGGAGCACTTCTTGCAGTGCCACATGATATGACAAGATGGAACAGAGTGTTTTCTGTTTGAGGGAAAAGCAAAGGTTTATGAGTTGTTTTTTGTTTCATTCACATGTGTGAATGAAACAAAAAAGCTCCAGCTATGAGGAAACAACATTTTAAAACTGATCAGAAAATAGCGTAATATGGGCCTTTTAATGCCATACTTTGAAACATTGCAGGCTGTGTTTTTGCCTCACAGTACACTCTCTTTTCTGTTGTATTAAATAAACATCTTTGAGTATCTGAATGCTCATGAGCGTCTCTGTAGGTAAGGCTCCACCTGCTGCACGCGCTCTCTGGTTTAGGTTAATGGGGTCTCAGCCTCTCCATGTCCTGGATTCACTCTCTAATAAAGACTAATGTGTTTGCCCACGTCGGCGCCTGCTCATTACAGAGATTTATAGCCGGTAAACCAGAAGAAGCCTCGTTCCCATTTACCGGTACAGACTAAACGCTGGTAATGAGGCGCTATGACCCCCGTGCCCTGTCTCCTAACTCAGATGAGGGAAGTGTCTAATGCCTGGAGAACCGCAGCGATCTCAGGCAGAATGGGTGATTAATGGCTGTATTATTGAGGGGAAAATACGTCCCTTGGGGTGATTGTGACAAGGACCTCATGTTAGAGACAAAATTAAAATGGAACTAGGGATCCCATGTTTCAGAATGACAATGGGAGTGTAGGGTAGTGCATTTTTCCATCTCCCTGCCCACAGCTCTGTACTTGCTTATGGTTACTGCAAGATTCCAGGTTAAGCATGTAGGGTTAAAACATTTGCATAGACACTTAAAAGTTGTACTGTATAACTTTTCTAGTAGATAGCCCACCAGTTACTTGTCTTCATGGATATGCTATTGCTTTACCTCCAGTATTTTTCCAAAATATGGCAACTTTTCAATCTCCATGGAAACTACCAGGAGATGCCACCGGGTCATTTTACAGGTGAGATTTGTGAAGAGCCCACTCACAATAAGAACACATGTTTTTAAAGATATTTTGAGCAATACAAATACACATAATTGAATAAATTAATCTCATATAAGTTCAATACCATAATGCGGGACATTATTGACAAAGCAATAGCATCTGGAATAGTAGTGGGCCCCCAACCTGAAAAGTTACACAGTGCACTTTAAAAAAAGATATATATACTAACAGCGTAAATTATGACAATCCACTCCTTGTTGTTTCACGAATATAAAAATAAACATGCATTTGTCACTTCCTGACAAGATTAGCAAGCAAAAGGGAACAGAAGTGTTTACATTGAAGGGTCTTTCTAACACTGTCTTTAACTACCAAACCAAATGAATTTTAGTTACAAGACCAAATGTGTCTCTAAAAGATAAACTAATCACATCACTCATTTTAATTTGATCAATCATAATCAGTGTTTTCCTGTGGGGGTCTGGTCTCAGGTAGAAATCACATTCATTTACACAAAGACTGATAAATTTTCATCACAGAAGTTTAGTTTTATTCGCCCAACACCTTTATAGATCTTAAAAGTATTCATTTCACAATATAATGTAATAAAAATAATAACTAATATACGATAATTGTGGGAAAAAATACATTTTAATTCAATCTATTCTCCAAAAACTGCTGCTAAATTGAAATAAGCATCAAAAACAGGTCATCACCCTAAACCCTACAGGAAGTCGGCCATATTGGATCAAACCCAAGATTGACAAAATCACATCTCATAATCTTTTGACATCTCCTCCACCAGTTTCAGTCAAAAACACTTCAAACATGGCCAAAATCCATTAAAAGCAAGTGTAATAAAAGATCATCAATTAGATTTTAAGTAGCACTGCTTATTGCTCTCGAGCAAGTTCAGATACATGGGGGGACATTGAGTAGGGCCTTAAAGGTTAGTGTTGGGTAAATGTTTCTGAGAATGAAACATTCTAACATGGCTTAAAGTTCACAGGAGTCAATTTTGCACAATATAAGACCTCTTTCTTTTCACAATTATTCCAATAGTAAATGTGTACTTACTTTGAAACTGAACTTACCACTGAGCTTTAAAAAAAAAAAGAAAAAAGAAAAAAACACTGCTTGAATTTAATTTGAAAACATAAAGCGACCTCCCTTCTGTGCGTATTTGTTCCCTCCTCTTAGTGTGTGGACAACAGCAGGTGTTAATGAAGTCTGAGCCTCCAGAGAGAGTTTCTCATTTACAAAGCTCCCTCCAATTAAACAGAACACAACTGAACAGTAAAGCTGAACCCAGTGAGCCTCCTCTGGTGACGCAGCTACCGGCCCTGAGTCTCGCTCCACACAGCAGAACATAGTCAAATATATTAGAACAACAGGGAAAGCAGCAACCAGACACTTTGTCCACAGACTCGTTGAATTATTAATTTCTAAGAGCAAAGTTGTTCAACCCAGGCTCACTTAAGGTATTTTAAAGTTAGGTAAGGCTTTTAATATATAAAAGGACCAATATTTAAGTGCCCGAAAAAGTATTGCTTCCTACAACACCGCAGAATGCCTCTCCCCACATTTCATCCTTCTTAAAATGTAAACTGTATGCTATTTTCTCTTCTGTTATCTGTTATAATGCTGTTTACTCACCAGAAACATACCTGAAGCTGTGTTTTGTTTCATTCACACATGCTTAACACACAAGTTCTTAGTTATTCTCTCAAACAGAAAACACTCTGTCCCACCTTGTGATGTCATGTAGTAATGCTGGATCATTTCAGCTCTGGAATTGTTAATCTCTACTCAACAAAATGTAAAACATGGCTGTTAACTTGAAAAGTACTGCTTCATGACCTCACAAGGTCAAACAGAGCATTTTGAGCATTTTAGATGTAGACAGACAAATAAGAAAGGGTTACTCAAACGTGTGAATGAAACAAAACACAACTTCAGGTATGTTTTGGGGATGTAACAACATTATTGCATGACTTAAAGCTCATAAAGGCAATTTTGCATAATATAGAACCTTTAAGTTAGAGAAAGAAGGGCATTGCTAATAGCGCTCGCATACTTGGAAGATTTATTGTCTGCCCCAGTGCCCATTGCTGTCAGTGTTCCCGATAACATATGGATTAATGGCACGCAGTTAAAACGTCTTTATTTGTTTTTGTGGATGATAGGACAGGATTGGGGGCTCTCCTCTGAGACGAGCTGAGTTATATTTTAGTATTTTTTGGGGGTTGGTTGCAGCGAGGAAAGAGATTACGGTTGGGACAAAGAAAGTCCAGAAGTATCCATCAAAGTTAAGGAGCAGCATGACACCCTCCATCGCTCTCAGACTCAAGAGTGTCATTGTGATCGCTCCATCAGTCAATCACTGTCCACAGCTCACACAAACCACCTTATTTTTAAAACCAACACCCCTTAACTACTGTATTATATACTCTGATTAGACTAGTGTCCTGGCAATGGGGTTGTCAAAAAACAGAGACTCAAATATGAATTATATTAAAGGGCAAATTACACCATTTTCTGATCTATGTTATAATGCTGTTTTCTCATCAAAAACACACCTGGAATTGTTTTGTTTCATTCACATGTTTAACAGACAAATCCTGCATATTTAGGCCATTCTCCTCTAAAACAAAAAGCACTCTGTTCCCCCTTGTGATGTCATGTGGTAATACAGGAACTAATATAAATGTAAAAGGTAGCTGTTAACTTTGGAAACTAGCACTTTTTTTTTTTTTTTAACCTTTGGAGATGTAGGCAGATTTATAATAAAGTGTTATTCAAACATGTGTGAATGAAACACATTTATGTGTTTCATTCACACAGGTATGGTTTTGATGAGATAACAACATTATAACATGGCTTAAAGCTCACAAGAGTCGATTTTGTGTAATATAAGACCTTTAAACTATGAACTAGATACTCAATGCAGAGAAAAACACCACATATTAAATTAAACTATTAGACAGATATTTTGTCTTTAAAATAACATTATACTGTATAAATACTTTAAAAATTATATTAATTGTGTTATCAAAATCAGGAGTATCACCTCTTTTCCCCTAAGACATTTCCAGTCACATTTGAGGCCATTTCTGATGCATTGAAAAAATACTGTTAGAGATTATGAAGAAATAAAAGTTGAGATATTCATTTTGTCAATATTGCCTTGAGTGTTCCTGCTTTTATCAAATCAATGCTGAAATAAACACTGTTGTTGAATCTGTTTCAGCCTTGAATGTCTGAGTTCTCTTCTCAACAATTCCATCAGCCCAAAAGTTCATGTCAGTGCAGAGCTCCATCTCTGAGTGTTTTCTCTTATTGTGTTTGAGCTCAAATGCAGCAAAACAGATTTGATTCTGTGGATGCCACAGCCCTGTATTATGTGACTCACGGCTGCAGAGAGGGGCCTGTGTGGTTATTACAGTGACAGGAGGATAAAGAGAAGACTGCGACAGAGGCAGAGACCAGCCGCTTACTGAGGGACGGAGAAGACACCAACACACACATCACACATTTTAGCAATGCATATTTTTCACTCCTGATATCTGTATTTGAGTTATAGTTTTAATTAAATGTCTGGATTTATAGTATTACTATTCAACAGACAATCAAACTACATACAAATACAACAGTTACAAAATTTGCTCATTTGTCGAGACAAGTGACTTAGTTACTTTTGGCTCCAAGGAAATAATCTTAGTTTGCATTAAACATTCCAAAGAATGGCATATAAAGTATATTCAAATTCAGCTTCTTGCTTGCATGATGTGCAGCTATCCCTCAGAGGTTCTGACTCTTTGTTGTGATTTTCTAACATGGATGTCAGCAGACTTGTTTCTTTTATTAAGTTATTTTAGATCAATATTGTTATTTAAATGTCTAAATTATAACATAATGATCCACACGTGTCAGATTAGATTAGTGTAGATAATATAGCAGACGCAATCACAATATGTCTTCTTTAAACTGGATATCCACTGTCCATCTGTTTTTCATTTTAAAAGATTTATGGAGATTATCTGTACTAGTTAGCACAGACTAGCAATAGATACTAGAACTGTTCTGACACACACACAAAAAAAGTCTGGATATGTGTTTGAAGTTTGCAGTACCTTTGTCACTGAAATCGTCAACCAGGATGAGCTCGTGGATGAGAGATGGGGGGGAGCGGTTCAGGACACTGTGAACTGTTCGGAGCAAAGACGACCAGCCTTCGTTATGGAACGGGATGATCACACTGGTGTTGGGCAGCTTTTCCGAGTACAGCTTCTTTGCACAGCTAAAAACAGAAAGCAAACTCACACTTAGGCCTGCAAATGTGTTTTATTTTAGCAAGAAATAAAAGAAATGTGCATGACAACCAACTTTTTAAGATTTTAAAGCACAGTGGGTTCCTTATCCATATCCTTTTTGGTTGTATACAATAATGTATTATATCCAATGGAATCAAACCCAAACTGGCTCAGAAATTCTCCCTCATTGACTTCAAAATCCTGTCAAAACCCTTACAATTATTTTACAGAATAAAAAAATGCCAATGGATTGTGAATTCAAAAGTACTGATTTAAATTCTAGACACCTCTTTGGCAGCACAGAGCTCATTCAAACAATATTAGGATCTAATGAACCAGGGCCTCCTCATGTCTCAGTCTAGACACTGCTCCAAAACTGAGCAGACTGGAACTGACACCTGTCCATCTCCCCACCAATCAGAGAACGACACCTGTCTATCAATGGACCAATCACAGTCTGACGTGTGTCCATCACTGTCTAAACTTTTAAAAAGCTTTGAAGCCTGAAGATTATTATTTGTGAACTATTTGCAATCACGCAGGAGGGAGTAGTCTGGGAACGCCTCAGGATCCCCCCAGAAGAGCTGGAGGGTGTGAGTGTGGAGAGGGGAGTCTGGGCATCCCTGCTCAGGCTGCTGCAACCCCACCCTGGATAAAGAGGAGGAAAAAGGATGGATATTCACAAGCAGTAAAAAGCTTCATAATTAGCTCCAAATGATTTAGCTGGTTTTACAGAATGATTTGGTGAAATGAAATCTACTCTTTAGTTAAGTACCTCAGCATAGATGAATATATTATGTACAGTATACTTCAACAAGCTTTTCATCATGTTATAACTGTTGCATTGCCTCATCATTAGTGTTTATGTGCTGTATTTGGATTCATGCATGTTTAAATATCCTTGTATCGCTCTGCATAGTTCTGGTATTCATTAATAAAGCACAGATAAAATATAGACCACCAATTTTACATTTTGTAAGATCAACACTGATCTAAAACTCAGCTCTCTGGTCAGATTTGTGGAGAGCAAGCTCATGCACAGTGTAGAATAGGCATTTTTGACCAATAGAAAAAATAAATTAATTAATAAAAAAATAAATAAAAAGCTAGATAAATATTTAATGCTTTACAGTTGAACATTCTAGGCAAAGCGATAACATATCTATGAAGACAAGCAAGCGAAGGATGCTCCTCCAGAAATTCGATAACTTTTTGGTTGGGGATCCATCGCCTTCTTGTTTCTATGGATATGTCATTGATCTGTCTGGAATATTCCACAGTATGACATTAAACGGCTCAGTGTTACATTTATTCTGTTTCAGGTGGTTTTATAGTTCAAAAATACCTAGAAAAATAGGCATCCTGACTGTGCATCCTGACTGTGCCTCTCTACAGATCCCACCTGTAACTTGGCCTGGTTTGGTCTCCTTGAAAATCGAAAGGTCAGTCCTGTGAAACATTCGAGACAAAGCGATTATGGAGAAAAGCTTTTGACTGACTCTCCACCAGAAAAGTTACACAGCGCACCTTTAAAGACCTTTTGCATTGTTGCCTTCACTCTTGGATCACTAAAAACACTAGCTGTCTTTAGTAGAGGCTGTAATTGACAGATGTACTCTGCAGTCAGAACACGGCCGGTCTCTGGTTGCACACTGACCTGCTGCAGCTCTGACTCATTATCCACAACAGTGAAAATACCCAGCAGCTTCTCCCACTAAAACTACCCCACGCTCTCAACCTGACAGCGGCTGGCTTCTGACCCCGACTCCACAGAAACACTGGGCTTTGAAATCATCTATGGAGCCAACATAAGCTACAAATGCTGTTTCATCCTGGTTATTACTTTTATGGTCCACATATATGGGAAAAGATCTGTTACCAAGGCTTTAATTGTTTGCATGTACACTAAAGATGGATTATCATGCCATTTCTAGAGTTCTGGAGTTCTTCTGGAGTATTATGATTTCTTTATTATTTTTTATACCTGTGCAGGTTTTGACTAGGAAAATGATGCAAAAAGGATAAATGACAAGAGACAAAGGAAAAAAATGAAAGAATATATACAAAATTGAACATTATTTTAATTTATAAAATATTTTAAATCTAAAAATCCATTGATTACTATACCAGATTTGTCCTGTAAAATAAAATTTAAAATAAAAACAGAACTAGTTAATTTTAAACAGATTGCAGTGATCCAAAGTTATTCCTCACCCACTTTAAGAATTTAAAGTATCTTCATTATTCAGTGATGAGTTCATAAGCACTTTTCAAAACTTCCAGAGATCAGAGCTGAGTTCTGCAGCTCAAACAATTAACCTAATAAAATATAAAAGAAAATATTAAAGATGCATTGTGTAACTTTTCAGTTGGAAGTCCGTCACCTTCTTGGTACAGTGGTTGTTATTGCTCTGTCTGGAATGTTTCACAGTATTACTTAAAAAACAAAACCTCTGTCTTACATTTACTCTACTACAGGTAGTTTTATAGCTCAAAAATACATAGTGGGGAAAAAAAAAAAAGTATTCTAACTGTGATCTGACCTGTGACTTTGTCTGCTGTACTCCTCTACTGTGAAATATTCCAGACAAAGCAATAACAAAGCATTTGACAGACCCTCCACTAGAAAAATTACACAGTGCGCCTTTAAAGGATGTGCATGTCCCTGATTTTAATCTCTTCTAGCAAAGATAAATGCCCTTATTATGCAGTGTATTGGAAATGCACAAAGTTTAGACAGAAAAACATAACCAAAACTAAGCTGCTGCCAGGAACATCAGATTTGTCCAATCAGTACCATTGTTTGGAAGAATTATGAGAAAACAATGGTACAATAAACAAAGTTGGCAGAGACTGACAAGAACCATGTAGACAAAAAATGCATGAGCCTTTACCAGTTTTACATTTTGTTTTGCTTTATCTGTGGCAGTGTGTAACTTACTGAAGATGGCACATGCACCTGCATGATAATGTTTGTGGAGATGCAAGCCAGATCACAGTAAGGGCACATGCATTTTAGTCTATTTTCAGGCTAAAATGTTACATACTATGGCTTTAAAGATTCAACATTACATTTTGAGACATTTTGACCAAATTTGACAATGTTTTTCAAAATGCACTTATAAATGCGTCACAAGTTGAAAGGTGCACTGTGTAACTTAATAATGCATAATGCCTAACTAATAGGGATGTAACAATATCCAAATCTCTCGGTACAATAGTATCATGATATGCATCTCACAGTAAGATATTTCTTGTGATATTTAGGAGAGACTAATATAATTGTAGATAGGAGACTTTTTTGCTTTTATAATACTTTGACAAGATTTTGTTGTGAATTATTTCCCTGATAATCTCAAGCATTCAAGTAAAAAACATATTTCTTCATGTTGTCTGCACTGAAATGAATCATGGGATATGTAGTTTCCGATGTTCATAAGCTGTTGCTACTATAAAACCATGCATTTAAGCAAAGGAACTTGTAATTTAATATATTGTGACAGCCCACAATATTATTATGAGACTTTTGACGACACGATATCATGGTATTTCGGTTCTTGTTACATCCCATACCAACTAACTAATTTTGCCAGCTGCTTGACTCCATTTAGGTATTATTGTTTATTCATAGGATGTTCTACAGTATGGCATTTAATTTAACTATCTCCATGGAGACAAGCTGACACATCGCCAAGGCCAACTTATAGGATATGTCTTTAGAGAAGTGGGCTTGCTCACATTATTAATGCATGTTTTTGTGGTAGTTTTGAGAATTAAAAACTCCTATAATTGAATAAACACAAGATATATTTGTTTAATGCCGTACTGTGGAACAGTAACATCACCATGGATACAAGCAGATGCAGGACCCTCCACCAGAAAAGTTACACAGTGCACTTTTAATGAAATGCAACACTGCAGTAAGACAGTTATGAATTTAATTGACAACACTTCAGGCTGCAATGAGTTTTTAGAGTTTGTGTGGGTTGTAAATTATTTAGCAAAAAAACAGCCACACAAACAAATATTGAGGAAAAAGTCAAACTCTCTCTTTATTTTGTTTTTGTGTCCTCATTTACTCTTCTTTTCCACTGCAGCCGCCCACACCTCGCTTCAACAAAACAAGCAAGAAATCTATCCCGCCATTTTGTTTGTGACACTCTCAAGTACTTTTTTTCTCTTATTAAAGTGTCTATGAGAGGTTTTTATGATTCTCTAATTTTGAGTTAATTTGGTGGGATAATACCCATTTTAAATATGTATTATACTGTTATAAATATCAAGGAACAATTTGCGTAGAGAAGTTGAAACATATTTACAAAATTACAGAAAGTGGAGAGTTCTGTTTCTATATTTCTATATTCATGACATAAGGGGAAATTCTACCAGAAAAAAAGTTTGCCACAATTTACAAGCAGAAACTTTTTTTTTTTTTTGTGATACTTTCAACAAAATAAAGGTGTATCTTGTATTTGTATTAGTCAAATATCTATTTCTATGTGCATTAAAGAATTTTTGGCATAGTTATGGAATGCCATGATTTCCAACTAGGAAGTCAACTTTGAAAACTATAAATTGGCAAAACTGGGGGGAAAAAAAGCCAATTTTTTTTAGTAAAATCTCAAATATAATAATGATCTTGATGTGTTTTTGTAAAATTAGTATTCTAACCTGTCATAGGCACTTTAGACTTGAAAATGCATACAGACTAAAAGTTGTTTTTTGGAATGAACTTACAAGTGAGAGTACGGGGCGCAAGATGGATCAAAAAGCGTATAATCATCTCTGCAGAGGGCACTTTATAGAATTATGCTAATGCAGAGCGCTGCTGTAAATGTGAAGTGCACTCAAGTATCGCACAATGCACCATAAAACCAAGACGGCTTCAGCAAGTTTTATGTGACAGATAAAAAATATTATAGCATGATTTTCAAGTGTTGAGAGTTAATAAGTCAACTAAATCAAATAAATATTTAGGAATGTGACTGACAATTACTTTTGATTGATAAATCAGGTCATTATGCCCTTTAATTAATACATTAAAAGTCCTATATTGCGCATAATTGACTCTTGTGAGTTTTTAGCCATGTTATAAAGTTGTTACCACATCAAAAACATACATGGAGTGTTTTTTTTTGTTTTTTTTTGTTTCATACATGTTTGAGTAATCGTTTATTATTAATCTGTCTACATCCCCAAAGCTTTTATCTTTAGTTCAGTACAGAGTGACAATTCCCGGGTTGAAATTATCCAAATAAGATGAGGTAATGCCATTCAAACATCACTTAAAGCTCACAAGAGTCAATTTAGTGTAATATAGGACTTTTAACTCGCTAATCTTATAAAATTGCATGAGAAAAAGCTTTTATTTGTTAGATTTCGTTTTAACCTCAAATGAAATACTGATCAAACCTCCTATGTCTTGTTTTTGATAGAAGCAAACATTCTTTTTCAGCTCCAAAGATGAGATCTGTGTCCTCCAAAACCCAATTTCATTCCCATCTCTCCACTTCCTCCCTCCGTCTCACGTCGCCTCTGTCTTATATGCCTCCCTCTCCACCTCTTCCTCTCTCCCTTTTTTATCCGTCATCCCTATTCTCTCCCACCCAACTTTCTCTCCTCTCTTTTGCGACCCATTCTTTAAATCTTTTTTTTCTCCTATCTCCCTCCCTTCCCTCATCCCCCCTGTTTCACCAACTGTCTTTCACATAACAAATTTTGTAGTATATGTTGCTGAATAAAATACAGACCATAAATTATAATACTGAAACCAAACCATGAAGCATAATTATTATATTTTTTTTCAAAATGTTCAATATTGTTAAAAAAATATGAGCTGCAATAAAAAAAATAAATGACAGAACGCAGTAGTTAGTTTGTGTCTATAAAGAGTAATAGAAGTTCATAATTCAATCTTTTACAGCTGAAATCTTATAGTACAGAAAATAAACAAATGTTCCCCACTAATATGAAAAAAAAGGACCGACAATTAAAACTGTCTCCATCTTTCTCTCCTCTTCTTTCTCACTCTATCTACCCTCCCTTTCTCTCACACTCTTCCTTATACTGTACCCACTTTCTATTTCCCTCCCTCTGTTTTTTCTGTCTCTAATCCCTCTCTTCCTTTCTCTCACTACATATCTCTTCATCTCGCTCTACTCTCCTTCCTCTTCATACCATCTCCTCCTCTTTCGCTTTTCTTTTATCTTTCTGTCCCCCTCCTTCCTCTCTCCCTCCCCTCTATCTCTATCACCTTGCTCCGTCTGTCCTTCCCTCTTTTACTCTCTCTTCCTTACTCTCTCTCTACTCCTTTTTGCTTCCCTCCGTCTCTCCCCATCTCTGTTCTTTCTGTCCCTCTCCTCGATCTCTTCCCTCCCTACCTCTCTACCATCTCTCATCTTCCTCTTTTGATCTGCACCCATCTTCCTCTTCTCAGGGACAGCAGGAGAGATTGGGTAGCGTGCCCCTCTCTCCCTCTCTGTTCTTCTCTGTTCCTCTTCTTCTCCCTCTCTTCCCCTCTCTACCTCATCTTCAACTCTCTCCTCACTCCCTCTCTCCTCTCAGAGACAGCAGGAGAGGCTGGGTGTTGTGCCCCTCTCTCCCCTCCCTACCTCTCCTCTCCCTCTCTCTACACGCTCCCTCTCTACTCTTCTAACTCTCTTTATCTACCCCTCCACCTCCTCCCTCTCTCCTCTCAGAGACAGCAGGAGAGGCTGGGTAGCGTGCCCGTCCAATCGTCAGGGCTGTGTGTGATTGGTTTGTGTGGTGTTCTTGATGGAGAGTTGATCTGAAGAAATAACCTGGTGCAGTGTTTGTTTGAATGAAAGGCTCTTGGCCCCGGGTGGCCCCAGTCTCACACCGCACTGCTCTCTGCTCTCTGCTTCTGAATTCAGCCCCAGGAGAGACAAGGATTACACAATTAACACGGTTTCTGGGGTAAAATGGTTGTTAAAGGTTGTGGTCAAACAGCAGCCACAGAAACAAACTGGTGCTGATACTTCGCAGCTGTCAACAACATTCCCTGGGGCTGTGATGCTAACCGTAGATACTGCTCTGTCTGAAGCTCTGTATCTGAAGCTTTATTTTAGCACGATTTGACTTGCTGGAACTACAACAAGTGAGATGGTTTGTGCAAGTTCCTCTAAAGCTAAATTACGGTCACAAGCCAGGTGGCATTAACCTATTAAGGTTTTGCGTCTATGTCACAAAAGCACGTGACCTGATGTTTATGCAGCAATACTGGAGGTCAAACTATCTATCTGGACCAACATGTAATATTTGTGTGTGACAAAATAAAAAGAAGGCACCGTTCTGTCCTCACTTTCTCCAGCACAGAATCCCCCCCTCAATTTCCACTGCCCAGGGTCGCTACGGGTATGGTTTTGACCCCCATTTTACTTACCCTTGCTCTTATCAGGAACAGGTTTGATCATCCTGCTACAACATATTTATAAGCCTCTAACCCCTTATAACTTTTCAGTTCTTGGTTGGTGTAGGACGATGTAGAATGAATTGAGTAGTTATAAATATCTGGATACTGGAGCTTCGGGCACAGAGGGAGCGTTGATTAGACTGATAAAGCGGTCCGTTGGAATTAGATAGTGATCAATTCCACAACCCAGGAGGATAACTTTAGCACTGTATCTTTCTAATGACGGCTGATCTAATGAGCTGGCAATTTTGGACAGCTTTATGTTGTTTGCCCTGTTTAAAGTAGCCATTATTATATTGTAGTAACTGAAAAACACCTTCCAGATCAACCCCAACCTTGACCACCAGTATGGCTGCCAAAATCCTTAATAGTTTTTCAATTAGTTACTCTCACCTTTTTGTCGAAAATCAAGCACCAAAACTGGATCATGAATATCATACTTACTACACTTGCATTATTTGGATTATAATGTTTAGAATTAAATTATTTTGCTCTTACTTTTGGTGCCTGATGTCTGGCAGGGACCTGTTGAGTGAGATGCGGTCACTGACGTAGATATTGAATCCGTTTTCTCTGTAGGCCTGGTCCACTCTGTCTGCGTCACTCAGAGGAAACGCCTTCCCCTGCTCACCATTACCTGAACAATACAAGATACAGTCACTTATTCATTTAATGTTTTTCACTTCTCTTTAATTCATCTTATTAGGACTACATTTTATGTCGCTTTCTCAGCTTTGAAATTTGCAATAGAAATCAAAACAATTGGTAAAATGTTATTCTTATTGTGTTATACTGCCAGATGGAATTAGATTCAGAAAACTTTATTGGTCCCAGAGGGCAATTCATTTGCAGCATTCTCAGAGCAGTTCTCACATAAACACATAAACTTATACAGTGTGTCGGTCTGTTACAGTCCACAAGAGGAACTCAATAAAACAATACATTACAATGCAATAACTTAAAGGGGCATTATGTAACTTTTTTGGTTGGGGGTCAGTCACCTGCTTGTTTCTATGGATATATTACTGCTCTGCCTGGAATGCTCCACAGTGTGACATTAAACAGCTCTACCTTAGATTTATTAAATTACAAGTGTTTTTTTCTGCTCAAAAAAATAGAAAAACAGGCATTCTGACTGTGAGCGGGGTCAGCCACCACAGATCTGACCTGTAACTTGGTCTGTTTGGGCTCCATGAAGACATACTATGAAACATTCTAGACAAAGCAATAACATCTCCATGGAGACAGGCATTTGATGGACCCTCCACCAGAAAAGTTACATAATGCACCTTTAACACTACCATCAGAATTGAGCAATGTAACAGCAGAGGCCACAAATGAATTAGAAAAGTGGTTTGTCTTTTGTAGCAGTGAATAAAACAGATGCACTGAGGGGGGCAGGAGTCAGATTTCCCTATTGATTACATTGTACTTTCATTAGGAATATCCAAAAAATAAATTCACAAATGTTGAACCTAATCACTTCTATTAGTGATTAGAGCCAAGAACTCAATGTAAGAAATTATGTGATTAAATTAAAGTTTTGAACCTGCTCTGGCAGCGTCCCTCTTGATGGCCTCATAGTCGTGCCAGTCTATTCTCCGCAGTCCAACTCTGCCCACAGGAGAGTCTTTACCAACACGATTCACCTGGAAAAAAAAAAAAAAAAAAAAAAAGCATTAGTGAGTAAATCTAAATAAATGCATGTTCCAGTCTATTCAGTACTGCATTAGTGAATGTGAAAAACATTGTGAACTTAGGTTTAAGGTTATGCTGGATGGTTTTAAGAGAGAAAATTATAAAGTTCAAGGCAAGTGAGGATAATTTAATTTTAGGTTCAAATAAAGACAGAATAAACATCCTTTGGTAAATTCAAATGAATATTACATTTATAACAAGAGCTGAATCACAATATGAAGATAACCAGTAGAGGTTCAATGTTATTATGAATGTTGTTTCAGAGAAATTCAAACCTTTAATATAGGGTATAATGAATTACACTAAATATTAATAACTCTAAAATGCAAATGAGTACATAAAAAAAGAACAAACTTGCAAACAAGGGTAGAAGATTTATGGGTAATTTCACAGTCCGAAATTGTCTAAATCTCAGCTAATTATTACAGACGTGTTTCTGCAGATTTCACAGAATCAAAATTATAATTTTAATTTTCACATTCCCCAGCCACACTTGAAGTTAGGGCTGCACAATTAAATTATTTAGATTAGCCATTCCCAAAGTCTATAGTGCTGTAGACCCCTGTTGATGCAAAGGGCCCCCCAAAAACAAATTTACACTACATTTAATAGAATGTGAAATGTTAAAACTATACATCAGGATTTATTTATACTTTTATACTAATAAGGTATTATATTTAAACATATATCTTAAGTAAAGAGTTGATTTCAAACTCAACCCCCTGCTATGCCTCTGAGGCCCATCAGGGGGTCCGGACTCCACTTTGGGAATCACTGATTTAGATAACAGAATGTCCTCTGCAAAGAGCAACATATTTTTTATTGAAAAATCCTGTTGTTCCTGTTTAGACTTCAAACTTGTTCTGAAATGCATGGGATTTTTGTATTAGTTTATCAGTTCAGATTTCAGTTTTCTCTCAAACATTATGCTCCTGGAGCTGTGTACATTGTGCACTCTGAACAGAATCCTAACATATATTGCAAATCTAATGGCAATCGCAAAATAGAGTCAAATTGTGCAGCCCTGCTTTAAATCTACATTTGTATTACACATTGTAAGGGAACAGTTTTATAAAATGTTTTGCGCATGGAGATTCTTTTGGCTTTAACAGCAGTAGCAGCCTTCCCTTTGTGCCTCTGTCTCCATCATCGTCACTCCACACTTTTCACATTGAGTTTATTCGGCCCAAGTGCACGCCCATGTCCACATGCACGCTCATAGTCCCAGTCTATCCACGCGCACGCCCATGTCCACGTGCACACTCCCGGTCCTCGCCTGTCTGGGTTGTGAACTGAATATTGATGTGGTGAATTCAGATGGGACCAGTGTGTTTTCCATCCATTCTCAACACAGAAGCGCTCAATTAGAGGATCAGAGCACAGACACTTGAACACGACAAAACGCAGCAATTACTCGATCAGATCAAATGCCATAATAATTAATCACATTTGACAAAGGAACTATATGGAAATTGACCATAGAGACGACCAATTTTATCCCATTACAAAAACAAAGCAGGAGAGTGATTAAAGTATAGAGGGAGGGTTTGTGGTCATTAAAGCTTCTATATTAAGCAAAATTGACTCTTTTATGCTTGAAGCCATGTTTTGAGATGTAGACAGATTAATAATAGAGTTACTCAAAGGTGAAAATGTTCTGTTCCACCTTGTGATGTCATGAAGTAGTAGTTTTCAAGTTAACAGCTACCTTTTAGCTTTTCATCTCAGACCAGCAATTGCTGATATCTGAAGGTGTATGGAATTTAAAAAACACAGTGGAGCACTTCCTGTATTACAACATGGCATCACAAGGTGGAACAATGTGTTTTCGAGCTTGCCTCTCCACAGATCAGTCCTGTAACTCAGGACTTGTATTCGCCCGCTTCATCTCTGTGGAGACAAGCGAGTGCCAGATCCTCCACCAAAGAGTTAGAGCACATTTTAAAATACAGAATAACACTCAAAACTCTGCAACTTCAAGTGAGCAAATAAATAAATGAATAAGGATAAGACACTAACTGCATTTTTAAATATATTAAAAATTGAATTATTTATATCACTCTGAAGTTAACTCTTCAAAGAGTCAAAGATGTGAAAGGTAAAGTGATGGTCAGTTTTTATTCTTAAATTTTATCCGTAGATACTTTCATTAAAATAAAAGTATTCTAATGGCAAAAATACACGCTGCAGGAATTCAGAGCCAGAAACACGCACCTTTAGTTGTATTTCCATGAGACTTTATTTTTATGTAAATTATTAGATATGCATCGTTACTTAGAAAATGCATGTTTTGTTTGACCCTCTATGTTAAAATATGAACAGTAAGCCCTCCAGTCTGTAAATGCATAAAACATTAAAGCAAGCACTGTGCCTTTGAGTGTACTGAAGTATCCTCATGTTGTCCATGGCTCACAGTTATTATGTATATGTGCAGGTTTATCTGGAGGTCAAAAGGACAGAGAGAAAAGACAGTACATAATGAAGCTGTGGCTGTGTTAGAGCTCACTTCAGAGGATAGCAGGCCTGGGCAAAGCAATCGATTAATCGATTTATAAGTTCAAATCGATTTGTTTGGAAGAAAATCAAACTTTCCATTGTGTGCCTCACAGAGAAGAAAAAAAGCAATGTTTAATACGGGGCCAAAGCTGACTCCCCTGAAATCACTGATGCAAACTGTGCAAAATTACATCTTTTGCCCCACATCAGCTACATGTTTAATGCAGCCCCACCAGTGTTCAGATTAGTTAGTTTTATGTCATTCATAAAGTAGAGATACATTTCCCCCAATGGCCAATGGGATGATCACTCAATACAATGTTCCTTTATTATACTGCTATTTTCTGTAGTCAGCAGAAATGTTTTAGTGGGGAGGAGGAGGAAATCAAACTGAAAAATCTTTTCTTTTTCTTTTTTTGAAGAATAGAATAGACAATTGTATTTTCAGCCCTAGAGGATAGCAAACAATATGGTTTACAGATGCAGTCGTACTTTGCCTGGTAAGTACAAAATGCAATTTTTATACATAAATCTCGATCAATAAACAATATTTGAATTACTGTATTGCAGATTAACACAAAAAGGTCACATTTTTCCACCAAATCAGCAATGTGCTCCATCGTTGTGTTGGGAGGGACTAAAGAGTAAAAATGAAACTAAAACATTTTCTTATATTGTTTTTTTCAAGATAACTTTTATCATGTTGAATGCAAACACGATGATCCAAATAGTTTGTTAGAGCTGTGCCAAAACTCAACAGATCGATAGATCGCGATTTCTACTTAGGTGATAAATGATGATAAATGATGATAAAGGATGATCAAGGATGATGATGATCAAGGATGATAAAGGATGATCAAGGATGCGTCATGCATTCATGAGTATGAATACTTCATACTTCATAGTATGAAGTATAGTTTGAGGTGTGTGCGTGAGTGATGGTGGTGGTCGGAGGGGCCCATGGCGCAGATTGGCAGCCTTGCTTCTGCCAGTCTGCTCCATGGCAGCTGTGGATGCAGTGGTAGCTAACGACCACCGGGTAATGAATAATGCTCTGTAAAGCATCTTTGAGTGTCCAGAAAAGTGCTATATAAAAGTGATGACCAATTCATGTGGCAGTAAGAGTGGTGACCCAAATATTTAATGTGTTCGCATTTAATTCCCCATAGAAGTGTAAAACCCCCTCTTTAAATCAGTATTAAAATCCTCTCCACTCCAGTCTCCATTCTGTGACCCATGAGCCTCTGCGTGTTTGGCCCCTCGTGTGAGACAGCAGCTCTGACTCGTTCCAGGCACATTTCTCTACCAAAAACATCTCCGCTCCGTATTCTCATTTTCTCTCTGATTAAACTTTCAGCTCGCGTTGCATTCACAAGATCCCCCTGGGCTTTCGCACAACCAGACCTTGAGGAGAAGACAAGGAGAGGCACCAGAAGTTTCAGAAATCATGCACGAGTTTGGAAAGAAGCGAATCGTGGGCGGACAGAAGAAGAAAAGGAGGAGGAAAAGGTGGTGCAAATGTTAAAAACTGTCTGAGCAAATGGGAAGAACTGAGAAAGTAATTTGAGGTTGACTTTTGACTAAATTGAGTAAGACTGCAGGAATTATTAAAACTAATGTCAGACTAACAATGTGCACACACTTGCACAAATTTTAGACAAATGATGGGACTTTTCGGCTCTTTTATGGGATCTGAATCTTTGGGGTCTGTTCATTTCAAAGAAAGACTGGCTCTTTTTTATTGTTTTATTCATATGACAGAAATCAATGTAAGAACTCATTTTGACAACTAGTGAAGGTGTATAGAGTTTAAAAACACAGTGGAGAGAAGAACTCAGTCTAAATATGCAGGTTTGTGTGCTACACATGTGTGAATGAAACAAAACAACTCCAGGTATGTTTATGATGAGGAAACATTATAACTTGGATCTGAAAGCAGTGGAATATTGGCATTTTAAAATAATAATAATGGTTTATTTTGAATTAAAGTTGCTGGAAATGTTTGATTCAATTTCAACTCGTACAGTTCACCATTCAGTAAGGAGGATTTGACCCCAGCTACAAACGCACCTCTCCTTTCTCTCCCTCTCTTCATCACTAATCACCCCCACTCTCTCTTTCCTCTCTCCCTCTCTTTCTCTCCTCAATCTCTCTCGCCTATCTCCTCCTCTCTATCTCCTCCCTCCATCTCTCCCTCTCTCTTCATGCTGACCTCTATGTGGGATTTTCAGATTATGCCGTTGCCGGGGGTAACCTCATTCCCTGCAGCTGTTAATCTCAACAGCAGATTACAGATGTGTTCACTGGACCGGGGTTTAGGGTCAGCAGAGACTGGGACACACGAGTATCAGGCATTTTCCAATCCAGGAGCGGCTCAGACTTTGATAGACTTACAAATGAAAGCAGCGTTTTATTGCATTAAATCTGCACTATAACTTTTCTGATTGAAGTTCTG